CAGAACTTTCAGCTTAAATGAATAATTTAAAAATAATTCCTCCATAAAAACTGATTTCTTTAGTACAGAAAAATATATTCTGAATAGTGGAATGAATCTGACCTAACTTTCCTATGAACATATATGAATATACTACAGTAATCTTACCATTATGTAATTTAAAAAAATGTGAGTAAGTAGCAGAAAGATCAACAGAATAGACAAAAGCAAAGGGCAGTGGGGGGGGGGGTGGCAGGGGGAGGAGGAGAACAAAAGATAAGTACTAGGGACTAAATTGGAGCAAATAATATAACATGTATTTATAATTATATCAAAACAAATCCTAATGTTATGCATAGCTAATATGAGTCAATAAAAAATGGAAAAAAAATAATTTTGGTATTTAGGCAATGACTCAAAATGTACATTTTTTTCCAAAATGTAAATTTCACTAATTCCATGCTGCCTGTAGTTATTTTGTAATTACAAACACTTCCACAAGTTTCACTCCTTAATCATGGGAACAAAATCATCCACTTTATTGAAAGTTTCACATATATTAAAAAAAAAAATACTGCTAAAATGGAGACCAAGTTTGTAGCACATGACCATTAGGAGACACAATCAAACCATATCCAAACCATAGCACCTTTCTTCTCTATACCAGACTATACGTTTTTTTTTTCCTTTTGGAATAAGAATGAGATCTAGAGACCAAGGCTGGCAAAACTATTTTACTTTATTCCCTATTAAATACAATGCCAAGCAATATCCAGATAATACCATTGAACTCTTTACCAAAATTAGGATGTGATTATCTGTTGGTCCAGCCAGTCTTAGATTCTAAAAGATGGATGCTGCCCTTGATTTGGGATAGGGTAAAAACAGAAAGCTCTAAAGCCTGTAGCCAAACTCCTATGAGACTTACAGAGCAATTATTTCAGAAAAGGGCTGGGGAAGAAGAAGGCTGTCCTGGTGGCTTTCATTACCTTCTTTGGGTGTGTGCATGTGTATTTTTGAGAATTTAACCCAGGGGTGCTCTACCACTGAGATACACCCCAGTCCTTTTTTATTTTGAGACAGAGCTTCACTAAGTTGCTTAGGGTGGCCTCAAACTTGCTATCCTCCTGCCTCAGCATCCTGTGTCATTGGGATTACAGGTGTGAACCATTGCATCTGGCTTTCATTATCTTCTTCTTCTTTTTTTTTTTTTTTAAAGAGAGAGAGAGAGAGAGAGAGAGAGAGAGAGAGAATTTTAATACTTATTGTTTTTTTTAGTTTTTGGTGGACACAACATCTTTCTTTGTATGTGGTGCTGAGGATCGAACCCGGGCCGCACGCATGCCTGGCGAGCACGCTACCGCTTGAGCCACATCCCCAGCTTTCATTATCTTCTTAAGGCAAAATTATTAACCCACTGTGACATCAATTATAATTTTTTAACTTTACCTCGTGTGCCTGGGTCAAATTTTTTTCTAAATTATTTATAGTGGCATGTATATCAAAGCAAGCAGGAGTTCTAACCAAGAGACATTAAGCAGAATCTTCAGATACTTTATGTTCTGCTCCCTGGGTGAAAATGTACAGTCTATCTTTCTGGAAGAGGCACAGAGAACTTGTTAATACATTGACTGAGAATAGTAGTTTATTAACCTATTACTTCACTCATCTATCTTTTTTTATGTCCCCCAAATCTTCCTGTTTCTGACTTAAGTGATCAGCAAATGTATTAGGTGTTTCCTGTGTATTCACACAGAATGGGAATACCATGGAAAATACAGAAATGAAACCACCAGTTTTGAGCTGGGCACATCATTGCCCAAAATAAAAATCACACTCCCCAGCTCTCTTGTTGCTAAGTATGGTCTTATAGTTCTGGCAACTAAGATAAAAACTGTGAAAAGGAAGGTGATTCAACTGTGAAGAGATTTCTTTTTCTTTCTTACTTCCCCTTTTAAAACTTTAATTCTCTTTCCAGAGGAGCTCCAGTTGCACTCTGGGACAAGAAGATGACCCCTGAGGATGGAAGACACAACATGAAGATGGTGGAGCAGAGAGACAGAAGGATCCCAGAAATCATCATGGACTGTCATACCAGGTCTAGATTATCTATTTCCAGTTTCGTGTACCCAAGAAAGGAATAAATGCTTATCTTGTTTACTCTGATTTTATTTGGAGTTCTTTGTTATGTGTAGCCAGATTGACAGAGTTAGGGTCTTATATACTAGATCATTTTTTTTTCCCGTGAGTGACAGTAATTCTGTATTAAAATATTGCCCTGAGCAATGCTCTTCAGCTTCTCCTTCAATAGGGTTGCTCTGGAAAGCTGAGAAGTGTTCCCTTGAGCCATTATTCTTCTATTCTTTTTCACTTTTGCCTGGTAAAATCTTATTCAGCTTTTTCCAAGCTCTTTTATTCTTCCTACCATTACCATTTCTCTCTGGCCTCTCTTGACTGAGTTTTCTATCAGGAGCTTTAGGCATGTGGAACCTGGCTAAGAACTTTGTTCTATCCTTTGTCTTTCATTAATTCCTTTGTTAATCAATCATCTTGGCCAAAAATTCCTAAGAATCTCAAGAATGGATGCTCACACCCCATCACACATGTGCCATTTCTACATTGTGTAAGCATTTTCCTGAGGATAATAAAGCAATTAAAAATATAATCCTTTAAAGCAATTCAAATATAATTTGTACCTGCCACCAATGGACTCTACAAAATAGGGAAAGGATTAAAGAGAGGAATAGGAGGGGGACAGGAACAATAGTAGAATGACTTGGATATTATGATCCTATGTGTATGTATGATTACACGACTGGTGTAATGCTACATCATGTACAGACAGAAGAAGGAGAAGTTATATTCCATTTATGTATGATGTATCAAAATGCATTACTGTCATGTATAACTATTTAGAACAAAAGAAGGGGGGAATGGGGAAATTGTAAGGAAAAAAACCGATCAAAACCACAGTTAAACAGTGAGAGCAGGTTTTGGGGGTGGGGGCAGCAGAAACCTTTGTGTGCACACTCTCCAGTAAACACTGTTGTGTTCTAAACCATGATACTGTCCTCTTGTATTATATGACATGCAATATTTTGAATTAATACATGCTGTGTGATTGGTTAAGCTTCTAATGCTCCATTGCAAAAGATATTTTTCATAACTTTGATGAAGAGTTGTACTTATTTATTTCCTATCACAGGTCCCAGCTGTGTTTGAATTTATATATTCCAGCCGTGGGAAGTTTTTTCTTTCTCTTTGACCTGCACAACGTTTTTTGTTTTGTTTTGTTATTTTAAATTTCAGGATTTTTTTTTTTAAAAACAGTATATTTCAAGTGTTAACTGGCCACACTTAGCTTTTGGTAGATACTATATGATTGATTATCCCTCTTGCCAAAGGTCAAGAGATATTTACTGAGGGCCTATTCTATGCTATGCAAAAGGTTAGGTCCTCAAGGTACACAGTTAACTAAGACATTAAAAAAATTCACCATGTCTATCACTGTAGATAGTGCCAACCACAGAGCATTGTATGTTTTTCAAATTATTTGGTAAAGAGATATGAATAAAGTTCCTAAAAAGAGTAGTGGAGTATAGTAGAACCAATATAAACTTTAGAACTGGATTCAAATGCCAGTTTTCCTAATTGCTTCAAGTTGCTTAACTTTCATTTTCTTTCTTTTTTTGTAATATGAGGAGAAGAACACTTATTTTATAAGGATTATAAGGATCTAACAAGATAATAGTTCAGAGAGTGCATAGTATTTTTCAGTTACCATGTTTAAAAGATGGGGCCTTAAAAATCAAGTGAAGTGCAATTCCTATCCTTAAGAAATTTCCACAAAAGATAATAAGACTAGTTACAGAATATTATGGAAATATTATGGGTGTTCCAAGTATGGAGAGATGACGTGTTTGAGTGAATCACGAGAGGAGGTTGCATATGAATGGTCCTTGAGGTATATATAATTAGGATTTCAACATTTAAAATTGGTAGGCATATCCAGGTTCAACTAAAAGATCTCAAGAAAGGACACAAAAAGCTTTTGAATGTGATTGAAGGGCCAGTTACTTTGGCTGAAATGGGTTCACACAGAGAAGTAGTGAAAGGTACGCAAGAAACATGGGGTGAGGCCATATTGGTAGTCTCAAGTTACTGAGTCCAGGAGACATGAAAAATTCTTGATGATTTAGGGGCAGGCCTATGGCATAATAGGAAGATTACTGTGGCAGTCCTGCAGGACAAAGTGGAAGGTGGAAGCGCCCAGGAGTGGGAAGATCAGTTAGCAGAGGTTATTGCACACTACTTTAGGTAAGAGATGATAAAGGCCTGAACCAGACTTGGAGCAGAGGGAATTAAGAGAAGACACAGGAGTGGCGAATTTCAGAAAGAATTAATGGTTGCAAGGGGTGCCTTACAAAGGAGTATACATAGATAGCTGGAGGCATTTACACTCATGGGTAAGTCTCAGCGAGGTGTGGTTCTGATTCGGCTTGAGGTTTGGATTGCCACCCTCCCTTTTTATATTCCTATTTTTTTTTTTTTTCATGGCCACCTCTGCTTCCCCCCATCTCTCTATACTAAGTAACTGAGCTCTTTACCCTCAATCAAACCCTGCGTTATTCCTCACGCTCCAATTCTGCTTCATACTGCTGTCTTTCATAGTAAACTTACAGCCAGGACGACTGCGGGTCAGGTCCGGGGGCTGCAAGACATTCCACCCGCCAGAACCCCTATAGCCTTCGCCTAGGCACTTTCCATGCTTGCGCCCCCACGGCTCTTCGGCCAATAGGCAGGCACTGGTGCTGAGGCTCCACTAACTATTGGTTGGCTGGGACGTGGTGAGAGATGGTGCGGTGCTGGTTCTCGGCCTGGGGAGAGCTGTGGGCGGTTGTTAAGGCGACCGTTCGTGACGTCAGGCCGAGCAGCCTCCAGATGATTGGCTAGACGATCGGACGATCCTTTCTTATTGGGCGCAGACTCGTCATCCCCGAGCGTGCGTAAATCCACAGTTCCTTCCGCTCCGTGTCTCCGTTGACTGGAGACAGGCTGAACACCGGCGTCCGGGTTCGGTGTCCTCTAGTGAGATCCCGAGGTGAGACTGGCAATGGTCACGAAAGAACAGGGCGGAATGGGACGGGAGCGGGATTGGGACCGTGTTGGTGGAGGTTCTCGAGCTTCTCCCGACCCAGGAGAGTGCCTGCGGGCAGCCCCCGGAGACCTAGCGGGAGCTGCGGTTTCCCTTCGCCTGTGTGGTGTGGCGTCCGGGTCCGGCGGGGACTGTGAGGAGACGTCCTTGAGGCCCAACTGGGCGGGCGGCGATCCGGCCTTTTTGTGGCTGCCATCACTGTCTGTGGACCAACAGGGCGTAGCCGCGTTCGCTGGCCCTGTCCGAAGGAGGCTTTGCTGGCCAGGCAGTCGCCATCATCTGGGTGTTCGGAACGGGTGCCAGGCAGGGTGATCACGGAGGCCCCTTAATTCCAGAAATGCTGGGAGTTGGAGGGGGAGTGGGGCCGGCAGATCGCGGAGTGGGCGGGAGAAGCGTCCTTAGGGTCCAGGCTTTCACGCCTAGGGGCTGCTGTTAGTCGGGACCTTTCTTTTAAGTGACTAGAAAGATCTCCCTAAATGCTGCTAACTAACCCAAAGCAGTGGAGTCGCGTAATGTGTCCGGTTATTTCCATGGGAACCGGTTGAGTGGACGCGGAGCCTAAAGAGGGGCTCACCCAGGGACTGAAAGGAGTCTTTTTTGGTTCTGAGAGGCGTAGTGTCTTTGATGCTGCAGTCCTTTAGTTCAAACCCGATATATTTTCCGGAGTTATTTGGTTTGGGTTAGGAAAAGTGCACCTTGGAGGTAAAACAATCGATTTCTCTGATAGGAGGAGGTTGATGTACTCCATTTTAAGTGTTCATAGGAAATATTTCATTATTTGAGAATATTCTTACTTGGATTTGGTCCTGCAGTCATAGGAAACATTATAGTACTTAGTATACTAAGTACTTGTTCATAATTTTAGCGACTCACAAAGTAGTGAATGATTTTTGTTTACTTGTGGACTTATTTTCTTATACGTGCACTAGAAGACTTTTTATGGGTAATCCAGCAAAGGCACAAAGTGTATTTTGGGGATAGACTGGATTTTGCAGGGCTGCTTTGACGTAGTGTCTTTCCAGAACTTGTGATAACTTGGCAGTAAGGACAATGGTGGTTAGTATCATGAAGGTTTAAAAAATTGTGCATAGATTCCTAAATTAACATTGAATGGTTGTACATGTGGCATGATATTTTGAGATGAAGTGGGTGTATGTGGAGTTTGTGGCATGTTTGCACACTGTTGGATTTGTAGACCATGGACAGACAGCCATTTTATGGGATCCACTTCAACTTTGGTTCACCTATATGAAATTGCCACTATTTTTCAACTTTTTCCCCCTACAAAACAACCTTTCTTACCTACAAAAATGGCAGTTTCATATGGTTTCACTTACTACTTTGTCAGAGAACTTTGAAAGAACTTCATAAGTGAATGAAGAGAGTTTGTGATTTCAAACAGGTAACATGTAATAGAATTGAGTATAGAATCCAGATATCTGATTTCTAGTGCAAGATGATGATGATTTTATAGGATAGTAGATTGAGTATATGGTTCTTGCCTTCAAGAGGTTATCATGTATACATTAATTACTTTGAGACTAGTGATATTGATGCTATATAATCAAATATGGGAATGTATAACATAGGAGGAGTGCAGAATGGGAAGAAAGAATCATAGTACAGTGCTAAAGTATCCTTTTCAGTAGTTGGCTAGGGTAGGTGGTTTTAGTAGCAGAATTTAAGGATTCTAGTGAATTTAAATTATCCATATTTTTAAAGAATATGTGAAATGTTTGTGGCAAACTTCAGTCAGAATAAGCAACACATATGTTTCTTATTTCTGTAGTTTGATTTAAAAAGATATTTTTATTATTGCAGCATGGTGTAAATACTGTTTATTAAATTTGTTTGAGCTACCCTGTAGCCTGCTAGTACTATTCTCAACTGCTGATGAAGGGGGAGGATTGGATTCTGTGACAGTAAATGGTTTACATAATCACAGTGAAATGGGAGAGTGCTATGAGAAATGACATTGATTATAATTATAGTTACTTTTGACACACCTTTGTAAAGTTGCTCAGTTTGTATTTCCAAATAGGTGTGGTTCTCAGGGTTTGGGGTGGCTCACAGGTTAATGTGAATGTTTTTTACCCTGAATGTTGAAAAGATAACTTTACACCCAGGAGAGAAAAAAAAAAAAGGTTGCAAAATTGACAATACCACCAGGAATATAAGAGAAAACATAATGTGCCTAATGTATAATTATGGGTTATGCTAAATCATTTGTAATCAAATTGGGGTTTCTTCCTGGTAGCAGTTCAGATTTTAATTCATCTGATAGTGATGTAGTGACTCAGGGAAGAATCCCCAAGTTGAAGGAGTTATGTATAGAAACTGTCATGAACATCTAACCTCTTATGAGGGTTTTGGTTGTCATTAAGAAGGATTTGAACCTATGGTACATTTAAAGCTATCCAGTACTTTAAATCTAGGTCCCTGTCAATTAAATAGAACGTATTTTATTGTTCATTTTTCAGGTTTTTGTTGCAAGATACTGGAGGGAAAAATGATGAATAAGATTCAGGGTATAAGGTTGAAAAGCATGAATAAACACAGGCAGGTGCAGGCCTCATTTATATACCTTTGTGACTGCTAGTCTTTTAAAATTGTGACCTACAGTTAAAAATGCTTGTTTTTTTGGAAGCCAGAATACACACTCATATATATGCACACACGGAGTTTTAAGACATAATACCCATACTGTGTATCTTACCCCAAAGCTATTTTATATTGTTTTCTATTTTATTAAAAATGTTTGTTCTGACCAACAGAATTGATTTCATGATCTGATTAATACAGTGAAGGCTTGTGACCTGCAGTTTGAAAACCAGTTAATCTGGCTGATGTCCTGGTATGGTTGAAATGTAGAGAACATGAAGTGATACATTGAGAGATGATACTTGGTAATTGGTTTCATTCTTAAAGCTACTTTCTTTTCCTTAACCCATTGTTGACAATTCTGCTAGCAGAAAAGCAACCACCACAACAAAATTCTTATCCCTTTTTATTAATGTAGAAACATCAGAAAAGACTTTTCTTTGGTGATAGCAACATTAGGGAGGTTTATTAAACATCATTTTGCTAGTGGCTTTATTCTACATGTTTAAGAGAATGAAATAGTATAATGGGTTTCTGCCTTTGAGGAGGTTATAAATTAATATGATTTACAGGAGCTTGCTCAACAGATATACTCTTTGATATTTATTTACCTTTTGTGTAACCAGAATGTGGATAGTGAGCTATAAAATCGCAGCCCCTCAATAATAATTTTGATATTCTGATTTGGAAAAAAAATTATATATATATATATATATATATATATATATATATATATATATATTTCATTCATTGGTATACAAAGGAACTTGCAAACCTTACTTCTTATGAAAATGAAGGGATTGGGGTTGTGGCTCAGTGATAGAGAGCGAGTGCTAGCATGGGTGAGGCACTGGGTCCGATCCTCAGCACCACATAAAGATAAATAAATAAAGGTATTGTGTACTTCTACAACTAAAGCACATTAAAAGTGAATATCTGGGATAAGGATTACCCATAAAATCAATTAAAATTAATTTTTAAAAAGCCCACTGATAGCCCCTCTAGCAAGAATTCAAAGAGATATTAATTACATTTACTAAGAAAGTGAGTGATTCATCATCTACTGAAGACAGAAAATAGAAAGACAGCAAATTAAGTAAAAGAAAGAAGCACTGAACTATTTATTTATCTATTTTTTGTGGTGCTGAGGATCGAACCCATTGCCTCACACATACAAGCGCTCTACCACTCCCACCCCAGCCCTGCTGTAGGGAATCTTTGTGCATGCTATGGATATATCTATTTCAGCCAGCCATCCATTTCTGTTGTTATTCTAGTTTTGATTAGGGGTAAAAATTTAGGAGGATTTCGCATGTAATGCTTTTGCATTGGTCTTCTAGACCTGTTGTTGACAATTCTGCCAGAAGAAAAGCAGCCACCCCAGCAAAATTCATATCCCTTTTTATTAATGTAGAAATATCAGAAAAGACTTTTCTTTGATAGCAACATTAGGCAGGTTTATTAAACATCATTTTGCTAGTGGCTTTATTCTACATGTTTAAGAGAATGAAATAGTATAATGGGTTCCCACCTCTGAGGATGTTATAAATTAATGTGACTTACAGGAGCTTGCTCAACAGATATACTCTTTGATATTTACCTTTTGTGTAACCAGAATGTGGATAGTGAAGAGGGTGTTTATATGTATTTTATATCTGAGTAATTAGAAAATGTGAATAATGGTTTTCACTTTTGTTTTCAGCTTTATTGCTCTCCTTTTTGGCTCAGATAATAAGAGCTGGGATGTTTATATGGTTTGATCATAAATGCTTGAATTCATATAGTTTTTAAGAACTGGCTGTTTTTAAGTTGGTTGTCAGTGAGTAATAGAGGATTTAAGTGTTTGAGTAAAGAGGTAATAACAGGTCCTTTTGACTATAATTATTTTCTAGAATTATAAAGAACAGTATAAAATGGTCATGTGTAGGACTTTAAGTGTGTAAAGCAGGGTTTACAGTACACTTTTCCTTAAAACTTTCCTAAAAGTACAGTCAGATATGTGCTAAATTTTCACACTTGATATTCATTCTTTCCAGGATCCAAGGAATCTATAGCTACAATGTTGTCAAGACTTTTCCGAATGCATGGCCTCTTTGTGGCCTCACATCCCTGGGAAGTCATAGTGGGGACAGTAACACTGACCATCTGTATGATGTCTATGAACATGTTTACTGGTAATGACAAGATCTGTGGTTGGAATTATGAGTGTCCAAAATTTGAAGAGGTCAGTGGAATTAATTTGATATGGACCATAGTAAATTACACTTTTAATTTCTAAAGAATATCTCCTTTTAGAGAAAATAATCCAAAAAATTATGAGTAAAACCTTTATTTTAATATTCATAACCTTGTGTCAGTTTTCCATTTATTTGCATGGTATGGGAATGATCTAGAAATACTCTTCTTTTGTCTTATTTACACAAATCAGTGTAATTGACTTTATTTGAGAAATATATCTTTTAGAAGTAACTAAAGTGAAAAATGATCATGATAAACTGGCTTAATGATGGACTTTTTAAAAATTGGATTTAATTTTTGATTTGTATGTTTGATATTTTACTTGATTTGTATTATGCCTGAATTTGTATTTTCATGAAAGTATATAAACTAATGACATACAACATAAAAATTCTTATTTTTGATTGCTTATTTTATTGGAGTTTTCTTTTCTCTCTCTCCAACAGGATGTTTTGAGCAGTGACATTATAATTCTAACAATAACACGGTGCATAGCAATCCTGTATATTTACTTCCAGTTCCAGAATTTACGTCAACTTGGATCAAAATATATTTTGGGTAATGCTTTTTTATATTACACTTCTTTGGTATGCCATCAGATTTTTTATTTACTGTGGGGATCAACCTGTTTGTTCAAATCAAGTATTTGGAAATGTGTGTATTGCTGAAATTGTGCTGCATGCATTTACTAGTTTGCTTTCTTATTACTGAGAAGTAGATAGACATTCCAAATTTTAAGATCTTAATAATCTAGAAAAAATATTATTAGACATCAGAACATTGCCTGAGACTAAATGTTGTTATTTGTGTAATAAAGCATAGATTTTTCAGAGTTGAATTTTGTTGTTTCAGGCATTGCTGGCCTCTTCACAATTTTCTCAAGTTTTGTATTCAGTACAGTTGTCATTCACTTCTTAGATAAAGAATTGACAGGCTTGAAGTAAGTATTAAAAGTACTTTCTTTGAAAATATATTTTTATTGCTTTTATATTTTATTGTTCACAAATAGTGAACAAAATTTTTATATATTCTAGTGTTTTCCCAGTGCTAATTCAAGGAGATTTTAAAAGTTAGAATGATATTTTGCTATACAGTTTTAATAAAACACTGAGAAGTATTTCAGTATAAATATATTTACATTTTAACATTGAAATGTTTTTTGAAAATATTTTGGGCAAATATTATGTTTAGCTTTGAGGATACCAAAGAAGTAAAGCGTATACTTTTTGCAGGAAGGTAAACATACTGTGGATCATACAAAGTATGGGGGGAGGGGAAAGAGTTTTGTTTTAAAAAGATTTTTTAAATTATATGTTTTCCTCTGTTAAATGTACCTGTTCATTTTATCTATTTTCCAGTGAAGCTTTGCCCTTTTTCCTACTTTTGATTGACCTTTCCAGAGCAAGTGCATTAGCAAAGTTTGCCCTAAGTTCCAATTCACAGGTAAGTATTATTTTTAATACAGAATGTGAGTAGTATTCCTTTTTTTTTTTTTTTAGTTTACATTGATAAGAAGGATCAATAGAGTTTCTTCATAAATCAAGATTTAGGGGTTGCCTGAAATTTTAAATTTAATTCTTTAAGTACTAAGACTGTTCTGCATAAATACCCTGGGAATAGTTCCATGTATCTAATGACTCAAATATAATTGCATAGCTGCTGGATTTTGAGTCTTCTCCATTTTCCATTTTGAATGTTTCAGAAGTTATGATAAAATGACTTTTGGATAAATAAGAATATCTACCTAGCAAAACACACAGAGAGAAAGAGCAGGATACAGTCTAATGGAGGAGGAGAATACCAGGGCCAATTCATTTTTAAATCCTTTGAAATAACACAAGCATTATTTCCATCTTAAGTTTCATCTTGATGTTCATTAATCACTTTTAAAACCTATTTTTTTTAACAATCTTGCATCAGAGTATCTTGAATATAAAATAATTTATATTTCTTCCCTGATTATATATTGATGAATGTTTATGATCACTTGAGCATGTTGATAAGGAAATAATTTAGGTTTCATAATACTAATATGATCTCAGAACAAACTTAGACCTAAGAGTTTCTGTTAGTGGTAGCCAAAGTATAAAATGTTGTAGAGTTTAATTATGTGGAATTTAAATGACAGAATTAATGTACTACTTTAAAGGAATATTCCTTAGAAATATGTCATTCGGTGAAAAGGGAAGCAAAGTAGTTTGTTTTTTGTTTGACCCTCTATATTACCAAGCTTTGTATCTTGAACATGTTAGTCTGATTATTTTATTCTTTGAATAGTAAATTAGATTTTAGTATAAGTCCTAGAATGCTGTCTAACATTTTTTAAAGTTATTTTGTAGCTTATTCTCACTGATAATTTTTGGTCTGTATTTTAGGATGAAGTAAGGGAAAATATTGCTCGTGGAATGGCAATTTTGGGTCCTACATTCACCCTTGATGCTCTTGTTGAATGTCTTGTGATTGGCGTTGGAACCATGTCAGGTTTGTGAGCAAGTTCTCATACATTGTCACTGAAGAGGAAAAAGAACTTTTCTGATTTGTATTGTTTATTATATTATTATTTAGTTGTAGATGGGCATTATACTTTTATTCATTCACTTATTTAATTATTTTAGTTTTTGGTGGACATAATCCCTCTATTTTATTTTTATGTGGTGCTAAGGATTGAACCCAGTGCCTCACACATGCTAGGTGAGCACTCTACCACTGAGCTATAACTGCAGTCCCGTATTGTTTACTCTTAAATTCTGACTTTTAGATTATTCTCAAAAGCTTTAAATTATATTTTTGTGTGGGTGTATCTGCCCTAGCATCCTTATACCTTAGTGAAAATGTAGTAGCAAATTATTTACTTGTGTTTTATTCTTTCCATCTTATCTTTCTGTGTCCCACTTTGTTGGGGTTTATTTTTGTTTTTTTTTTTTTTAATATTTTTTAGTTGTCGATGGACACAATGCTTTATTTTGTTTGTTTATTTATTTTATGTGATGCCGGGGATCAAACCCAGGGCCTCACATATACTAGGCAAGTGCCCTACCACTGAGCTACAATCCCAGCCCCTGTTGTTGGTGTTTTAACCAATATTGTATTCCAAGGCTGTTCTAGAAAGCTCCTTCTACCCATTGCTATTTCCAGACTAAAATTGGTGACTTGGTTCCTTGTGATTTAATTGTCATGTATGAGACAGTGTAAGAGTGAGAAATTGGACACATCTGAGTTATTAGATCTACTTAACAGGGTGGTTGGGAAGATTTAATCAGATAGCATACAGTACCTTTTAGCAAGTAAGCAGCATTAACCTCAACACGTTTCCTCATCCTCAGTTGCATAGTAGAGTATTAGATACATAGGACTCCATTATATAGGATAAAAATTATTTGGCTTGGAAATTTATCAGAATGAATATAGTATGCTATTGTGGAGGTTTCCTAATAGTTAGGCCAAAATTTTATGACTTCCTCACTTGGTTAGTTAATTATAGTTCTAGTGACTCTCCTTGGTATTTTACAACCCTCAATAAGGAAGCTTATTCTTTGAGAAGTAAATTATCTAACTTTCTTTTTTTTTTAGTTGTAGTTGGACACAATATCTTTATTTATTATTTATTTGGTGCTGAGGATCGCACCCAATGCCTCACACATGCAAGGCAGGTGGGTGCTCTACCACTAAGCTACAGTCCCAACCCAAATTATCTAACTTTTAAGGGAGCAGTTGGTTGACTTTTAAATATATAATGTTTCTTCTAAATTTCCTGATGGTTAATTATATATTATTCTGTCTTTCAATAAAGATTTTTATATAGCAAAGAAAATATGTTTTTAAATTTTAAAAATATATATACCTGATAATAGGAATTTAGCTCCATGGTAGAGTGCAAAGATCTTGGGTTGAACCCCTAGCACCAGAAAGAAAGGAGAGTAGGAAGGAAGGAGGAAAAGAAGTTAATTTAGTTGTTACTTTTCAATCTTGAATTACTATTTTTTATTTATTATTTTTCAAAAAGATCAGTAAGATACAAATTATAAGAACATAAGGAGGCACCAAAGAGATTATATGGAAATTAGAGTTCAGTGGTTCACAAGAAATATTTACTTTGATACTGTATCAGGAATCACATAACTGGCAATATGCTCTCTCCTTTTTGTCCTTGGTAATATTCGATCAGTAGTGTAAATTGGAAGGGGGAAGTTCTTCAGTAGATCCTGTCCTCTATACCCTTGTCTTGAAACTACCATTTGATAAAAGAGGATTGAAAACATGTTAGATGTGTACTGAATACTACTACTGTGCCTGATGTAGTGATGTGTTAGGAACATGGGAAAAGACAAGGTCTTTGGTGCTATAGTTGTTCTTGTTCACTAAGTCTTGGCATCACTTTTGAGTTGATGATTCTGTTTCCAGTAAATGGCAAAGAGTTTAATAGTCATATTTGTCTATCTGCAGCAAAAGTCCTTGTGATATACGTATCATTGAAAAAACATATACTTGGGGCTGGGGTTGTGGCTCAGTGGTAGAAGGCTTGCCTAGCATATGTGAGGCACTGGGTTCGATTCTCAGCACCACATAAAAAAATGAATAAAGATATTGTGTTCATCTATTAAAAAAAAAAGAAAATACATATACTTTACTAGTTACACATTGAATTTTTCTTTAAGCAGGGGTGCGTCAGCTTGAAATTATGTGCTGCTTTGGCTGCATGTCAGTTCTTGCCAACTACTTCGTGTTCATGACTTTTTTCCCAGCTTGTGTATCCTTGGTATTAGAGGTAAGAACAATTCTTCTGGCATAGTATTAGAGTAATATTTTGCATTACATTAGGTCACTTAAGGAAAAATCAGTACCTTCTAACATAATATTGACTTATTTTGTAGCTTTCTCGGGAAAGCCGTGAGGGTCGACCAATTTGGCAGCTCAGCCATTTTGCCCGAGTTTTAGAAGAAGAAGAAAATAAGCCAAATCCTGTAACTCAGAGGGTCAAGATGATTATGGTAAAGACATTGTTTTCTTCTCCCTTCCATATTCATAGTTCCAAGGTTATCTTTTTAGTCATTTTTGTTTTTTACTTCCTGTTCTTTTTTATATAATTTTTGGCTTTTTAAATGATATGATACTCTTCTTCCCTTTTTTCTTCTTTATTTATTTGAGGCTCCTGGTCTCTCTCACATAAATAAAAATTTCAAGTTCCTCCAACTCTTTCTTGAAAACCTGTTCTTTAGGATATTTCATTATTAATGGGACCACACTTTAGCATATAACAAACTTGGGGCTTTCTTTATCATGGTAGCAGGGTGCTGTGGAAGATAGTGGCTGCTTGTTCAATTTCTAAGAATGAGAAATTTAAGTTCTATTGATAAGCAGAAGATACGATTTTTAAAATTTTATTTCAGTCCTTAGGCTTGGTTCTCGTTCATGCTCATAGTCGCTGGATAGCTGATCCTTCTCCTCAAAACAGTACAGCAGAACATTCTAAGGTTTCTTTGGGCCTTGAAGAAAATGTGTCCAAGAGAATTGAGCCAAGTGTTTCCCTCTGGCAATTTTATCTCTCTAAGTAAGTTAATTGAAATCTGCTTTGTTATATATTAATCATAGTACTTTAATGAAGTTTAAGTTGTACCTTTTATATTTCTTAATAATATTTTAATTTGTTTTCTTTTATTTAGAATGATCAGCATGGATATTGAACAAGTTATTACCCTAAGTTTAGCTCTCCTTCTGGCTGTAAAGTACATTTTCTTTGAACAAGCAGAGACAGAATCTACGCTCTCGCTAAAAAACCCTATCACATCTCCTGTAGTGGCCCAAAAGAAAGTTCCAGATAATTGTTGTAGACGTGAACCTACGCTTGTCAGAAATAACCAGAAATTTCAGTCAGTGGAAGGAGACACAGGGATAAACCAAGAAAGAAGAGGTAATTTCTTATTCTCCTCACTTCGAATTCTTCCATTGCTGATTTGTCAAATATTTGAGTCCATTTAAAAAATTATGTTCAGTGTTTTGAGATATCTTTTGATCTCTTGAACAGTTGAAGTTATCAAACCTTTAGTGGCTGAAACTGACACCTCAAACAGAGCTACGTTTATGGTTGGTGGCTCTTCCTTATCCGATTCTTCATCTGAACCAGTGACACAGGAATCTGAGATTGAATTTCCCAGGGAGCCTCGGCCTAATGAAGAGTGTCTACAGATACTTGGGAATGCAGAGGTGAGGACAACAGCATAGACTTAAGCTTTGAATTTTTCTTTAAAGTGAGCTTTTTTACTAAAGGAAGAAGAAGCTATTAGTAGTACTAAGTACTACTAAATTCTAGCACTGTGTTACTTGTCTTTATTCCCCACAACCTTATTGGATAGTGGAATTATTTCTGTTTTATGGATGAGAAACATGAGGCTCAAGACATTTAAATAATACATGAGGGAAATGGTAGTTAGAAGTAGGGTTTGAGCTAGGCATAGTGACACATGCCTGTAATCCCAGCAGCTCTGGAAGCTGAGGCAAGAAGATTGCAAGTTCAAAGCCAACCTCAGCAATTTAGCAAGGCACTTAGCAACTCAATGAGACCCTGTCTCTAAATAAAATATAAAAAAGGGCTGGGGATGTGATTCACTGGTTGAGCACACCTTTGGGTTTAATCCTCAGTACCAAAACAAAAAAAAGTGGGGGAGGGTTGATATTTTCTGATTTCAGAGTCAAAACTTTTTCTAGCTTATTGCTATATATTAGAGAGATGAACAACTATTATATTTTCATGTGTTGAGGCCTGAGAAATATTTAACAGGGAGATGAACTTTAAAGATAGAAGAAAATTTGTTTTGTTTTTGTTTTGTAGGCCAACTCATAAGGAAGCTGGCTTTCTTGAGATTTTAAAAAAATATTCTTCTTGGGCTGGGGTTGTGGCTCAGTGGTAGAGCACTCGCCTCTCACCTGTGAGACCCTGAGTTTGATCCTCAGCACCACATAAAAATAAATAAATAAAATAAAGATATTGTGTCCATGTATAACTAAAAAATATTTTTAAAAATATTATTCTAGAGCTGGGGATATAGCTCAGTTGGTAGAGTGCTTGCCTCACATGCACAATGGGTTCAATCCCCAGCACCATAAACAAACAAACAAACATTTTTCTAGTTGTTTCTGGACCTTTATTTTTGTTTATTTATATGTGATGCTGAGAATTGAACCCAGCCTTACACATGCTAGGCAAATGCTCTACCACTGAGCTACAACCCCAGCCTGCCCTTCCTGAGATTTGAACAGGGTTTTTTAACCTATATAACTATGAGTTCATTCATAATCTTGTTAATTATTTTTTTTCCCTTATGTTTATTAGTTAAGAGGTACTCCCCCCCATACTATAATAAAGTATTAAGGTATAATACTATAATACTTAAAGTATTAAGTATTATACCTTAATGCTTTATTAAAGTATAATTGACAGTGTTGTGTATGTAGGTTGTATGTTTGGTGTTTTGATATACATTGTGAATAATTGCCACAGTCAAGCTTATTAACATACTTCTCACCTAACACTCTTTCCTACCTCTTTTCTTCCCTTCCTTTCTTATGAGAACACTTAAGATCTACCTTTTTAGCAAATTTCTAGTCTATAATACAGTATTGTTAACTATAGGCCATTGCTATATATTATATCTCCAGAGCTTATTCATCCTCATATCACCCTGTAAACCAACATTTCTTCATTTCCTATTTCCCAAGCCACTGGCCAACCATCAATCATTTTACTGTGCTGCTGCTGCTGCTGCTGCTGCTGTTTCTGCTTCTTCTTCTTCTTCTTCTTCTTCTTTTTAACTTTGATTCCCTATATAAGTGAAATCATGCAGTATTTATTTTTGAAGTTAATTCTTAATTTTCATGTGCTTATGTGTAAGAGTGCAGGTGTGTTTGGTTTTATATATGTTTTTTTATAACTGTTTTTGTTGAATACAGGGTTAGCAAAATTTCTGAGTGGACATCAGAATCTTAACAGATTTTTTTTTCTTTGAAACTCTCTGGGAAATTTTCATGTTTTGGTCTGGCATTTGTTTAGTTTTATAAATAATTTACTTTCATTTTGATATTACTTCTATTCAGATCATTTTCCTATGTATATATGTATAGATATCTATAGATGTATAGATAGATAAGTGTAGACATGTCTCTCTATACACACACACACACACACACACATATGTCTACATGTGTATGTGTGTATAATTTTTATTTCCCCTCATACTGAGGATTGAACCCTGGGCCTGGCCTGTGCTAGGGAAGCACTCTACCACTGAGTTACATCCCCACCCCAGTTCATCTCCCTCTAGAGAAAGCCAAAGATTTTTTTGACTTCTCCTCTTATAGTGCTTGTGTTTTAGCTCTTCTGAGAGCTGATATCGTCAGCAGGACTATATAGTATTTGTGTGCACAACAAATATTTATCACATGTTGTAATACTGTAAGAAATAAATATTGGTTGGAGTACTTCATTTAATTTATAGATGTCTTGGGCTTACAGAGAGCAGGTGTACTGCGGAGGAGGGAAGCTGGACTGAGTCCAAATACACTGTCCTGGGTTCTGATCTTTTCTTTATTGCCTCCTAAAATAAGCTGGTCCAGAGTACTACTTTACTATAATTGAGAGTGCTTAACATTGTGATCTTTCAGACTTCGGCTTTTTTTATCTTCTCTCTAAAGAGGTTTGGTATTGAGCAAGGTATATGGGCTGAATAATTCTTTATCTTCAGATATCTGAAGTTTGGAACTTCCAACTTGAAAGATGAAAGTAGTTTTGATAGGTTAGCTACTATATTTATCTTTACTCAATATGAAGATTTATTTTGATTAAGCAAAATGCCATATGCTTGAATCTGTTTCATCTTCATTCTTTATTCATACATATTTGAGTTGAATCATGTTATTGTTCTATAAACACATGTCCCAGCTCTGGGTTTCTGTTGTTCCTGACACCTAGGGTACCTTCCCTTTCCATGTCTTTAAGGCATATGTGACCATCTTTAGAAAATTTGCCCCAATTCCAACCAGAAGTGACCTTTCTCTCCTGAAGCTCCCTTGTAGACTGCATTGTTAATGCCAATAAATATGTTAAAAAATGCTCAATGTCTTTAGCCAGTGAGGAAATGCAAATCAAAACTACCTTGAGATTTCACCTCACCCCAGTCATAATGGCAGTGGTTTTAAAAAATAATAGCAAATCTGGTGAGGATGTAGAAAAAGAAATCTTTCAGTACAGTGGGAATATAAACTAGTACAGCCACTGTGGAAAACAGTAGAGCGGTTCCTCAAAAAATTAAAAATGAACTACCATTATCATCCTGCTATACCACTCCTGTTTATATGCCCAAAGGAAATGAAGTTAGCATATAAAAGAGATACCTGTATACCAAATATTTTTTTGTGGCACTGATCACAATAGAAGAATAAAATAATGTCATTTGTAGAAAGTGGATAGAACTGGAAGATATCATGTTAAGCAAAATAAGCCAGACACAGGCAAGTATTCCATGTTTTCTCTCATAATGTGGAAACTTAAAAAAAAAAAAAAAAGCCTGACAATTATCAAGAATACAAGTAATGGGCTGGGGATATGGCTCAAGCGGTAGCGCCCTCGCCTGGCATGTGTGCGGCCCGGGTTGGATCCTCAGCACCACATACAAACAAAGATGTTGTGTTCGCCGAAAACTAGAAAATAAACATTAAAAAATTCTCTCTCTCTCTCTCCCCCCCCCCACTCTCTCTTTAAAAAAAAAAAAAAAAAGAATACAAGTAACAATAAATGTTGGCAAGGATGTGGAGGATGTGGGGAAAAAGGTACACTCATACATTGCTGATGGGACTATAAATCAGGGCAACCATTATGGAAAGCAAAATGGAGATTTCTTAGAAAACTTAATGGAACCATTTGACCCAGTTGTCCCACTCCTTGGCCTTGGCATATACCCAGAGGACTTAAAATTAGCATACTACAATAACGCAGCCACATCAGTTTATAGCAGCTCAGTTCACAATAGCTAAGCTATGGGACCAACCTAGGTGCCCTTCAACACATGATTGGATAAAGAAAATGTGATATATATACACAATTGAATATTACTCAGCAATAAAGAAGAATGAAATTATGGCATTTGCTGGTAAATGGATGGAGCTGTATTCTATCATACTAGTTGAAATAAGCCAATCCTCAAAAGCCAAAGGCCAAACATTATCTCTGATATGTGGATGCTAACACAAAATAAGAATTGGGGAGAGGAAAGAATACAAGTTCATTGGATTAGACAAAGGGGAATGAAGGGATGGGAGGGAGGATGAGAGGGGGGATGGGAATAGGAAAGACAGTAGAATGAATCAGACATAACTTTCTATGTTCATGTGTGAGTACACGACCAGTATAACTCCACATCATGTGCAACCACAAGAATGGGAAGTTATACTCCATGTACTACTGCATATATGTATAATATGTCCAAATACACTTTGCTGTCATCTATATCTAAAAGAACAACAACAAAAAAGGCCTGAAAGTAGATGAGAAACTGTTAGGGAAGGGGAAGTGGACCTAGGGGTGGTGGGGAGCAGAAAGGGCAATAGTGGATATGATTGAAATATGATGTACACATGTACAGAAATGTCACAGTGAAACCTATTAATTGGTGCAATTAATGTGAGTTAATATTTATAATTTAAAAAACTATAATGTGTGGTATTCATGTTATTTTAATTTGGCATTGTTTATATTAAATGAATTGTTTATTTTCTGGAATATCTGTATTAAAAACGATAGGGATGTAATAGAAAAGATTTATATTACTTTAATTTAGCATTATGAATAGTATGAATAGTATTTAGCATTATGAATAGTATAGTCCTTCAAGTCTTCTTGACCTCCCTTTCTGACCTCCCTCCCATTTTCTTTTCCATTTCTTTAGAAAGGTGCAAAATTCCTTAGTGATGCTGAGATCATCCAGTTGGTCAATGCTAAGCATATCCCAGCTTACAAATTGGAAACTCTGATGGAAACCCATGAACGAGGTGTATCTATTCGCCGACAGTTACTTTCCGAAAAACTTCCAGAGCCTTCTTCTCTCCAGTACCTGCCTTATAGGGATTATAATTACTCCCTGGTATGTTGTTTTCTTGATTAGAGAAGATTTGCTTTATAGCTTTTAATCTTTTTTTTCCCTTGATTAGTTTTTTTATATGTACATTTTTCCTTTTAAAATTATTTTACTTTAAGTTTGTATTCTGCTTATAATGGAGGCCATAGAAATTCAAAATCTTTTACCTATTTTATAGTCATTACTGAAGTTTTAGTATTTTCAATATTTTTAAAGGGCAAATTAAAAATTTTGTTGAAAAACAAAAAGATTAAGAACGTTATTAATGACAGGGGCTAGGATGAGTTACTTTGTATTTATAATGGTGTAGATTTTTCACTTGGTGCCTCATTTTACCTTTTAGGTGATGGGAGCTTGTTGTGAGAATGTTATTGGGTATATGCCCATTCCTGTCGGAGTGGCAGGACCTCTGTGCTTGGATGGAAAAGAGTTTCAGGTTCCAATGGCAACAACAGAAGGTTGCCTTGTGGCCAGCACTAATAGAGGCTGTAGAGCAATTGGTGTAAGTTGGAATTTATTTATTTGTGTTTCAGGATTTTTTTTTTTTTTTTTTTTTTTTTGGTACCTAGGATTGAACTCAGGGGCATTCAAACACTCAGCCACATCCCCAGCCCTATTTTGTATTTTATTTAGAGACAGGGTCTCACTGAGTTGATTAGCACCTCGCTTTTGCTGAGGCCAGCTTTGAACTTGTGATCCTCCTGCCTCCCGAGCTGTAATAGAAAAGATGTAATAGAAAAGATTTATATTACTTTAATTTAGCATTATGGGATTACAGGCGTGTGCCACCATGCCGGGCAATTTTTGTGTTTTAAAATATATCTTTGGCAAGGCAACCAGAACAGATTTGGGGACCATGAAGGATACCTTTTGGGACAAATAGAAGTATATTCTGGGTTAACATGTTTTTGAAATACATTATGTAGCTTGGTGGAGGTGCCAGCAGCCGAGTTCTTGCAGATGGTATGACTCGTGGCCCAGTGGTGCGTCTTCCACGCGCTTGTGACTCTGCAGAAGTGAAGGCCTGGCTTGAAACACCTGAAGGGTTTGCAGTGATAAAGGAGGCCTTTGATAGCACCAGCAGGTAGGGGTGTGTGTGTGTGTGTGTGTGTGTGTGTGTATTTATATAGATATGCTTATTTTAGAAATAGTGCCATTTTCTGTGATTGCTAAATATAATTGATAATATATTGACTGAGATAAAATAATCAAACTTAAGATCTGTTCATTTAGAATGACTAAAATTTATGTTTGGAGCATAGATATTCAAATGAATTCCCCCATAGAGGTAAAGTAGTTTAAAAAAAAAAAAAGCATGAGATAGAAAATCTAATTAGACTGTTGCCCAGCAGTAGAGTTTTTCAGATAAGATTTTCCAAGCAAGATTAGTATTAGTATAGTAGGTTTGCTTTAATGCAGAAAGTAAAATTTACAAAGGAGCATAATCATTACAGATTATAATCCTGCTATAGTTCAAACTAGTATGTTTGATTTTATTTGGACTTTTAAAGTTTATTAAGAAACAACTGTCTATAGCTCACCCCCTTTCATCATCTAACAATGAGATAGAGTTGAAATAGTATACCTCATGTGTTTAGTTAAAGAAACAATAAATAATCTCGATGAGTTTTAAGTGTGAATTGAAGTGACTGAAATAGATTGGGGGGGGGGGTATTGGGGATTGAACTCAGGGACACTCAACCACTGAACCATATCCCCAGCCCTACTGTGTATTTTATTTAGAGACAAGGTCTCACTGAGTTGCTTAGTGCCTCACTTTTGCTGAGGCTGACCTTGAACCCTCTGTCCTCCTGCCTCAGCTTCCCAAGCTGTGTGCCATCATACCTGGCTGTGAAATAGATTTTAAGATAATTTCCATCTTAAAAGAATAAAATAAAATCTTTGCTTTTGTTTACAGATTTGCACGTCTGCAGAAACTTCATGTCAGTATGGCTGGACGCAACCTTTATATCCGTTTCCAATCCAGGACAGGGGATGCCATGGGAATGAACATGATTTCCAAGGTTAATATGGGTACACTGTATCTGAAGGATACATGGGTAGATGTAGAACTTGTAGGAATGATTGTCCCAGGAAGTGTTATTAGGTGGTAGGGAGATAGAGATGAGGAACAGACTTGTCGTTTATGTCCGTCTCTGTTTTGTCATAGGTACTTCATACATATGTTACATACTCAAAGATTGAATTGATTTAAATCCATTGAAGGCTAAATATTGATTGATTTGGCTCCTGTTATACATCAACATTTGTTGATTGGTGTTTATATTTGATACTTTTAATTTAGACTTGGCATTGGACATGCACTAAGTTTATTTCAGAGAGGGTGGGAAGGATCTTGGGATTAACATTTCAAAATTTTGCTTAAAAAATTTAAAGTGGGGATGGGGCTAAAATATAGTCCAGTAATGGAGTAGATACATGAGGCCCTAGGTTCAAAATGATGAATACTTAATTCATTTTAATGCTCTGTTTTGTTTTGTTTTTTGATTGTTAATAGGGTACAGAAAAAGCACTTTTGAAACTTCATGAGTATTTCCCTGAAATGCAAATTCTTGCAGTTAGTGGTAACTACTGTACTGACAAGAAACCTGCTGCCATAAACTGGATTGAAGGAAGAGGAAAGACTGTTGTTTGTGAAGCTGTCATTCCAGCCAAGGTTGTCAGAGAAGTAAGTGATTGGATGAATGCTTTATTTTGTTTTCTATTCTTCTCTTTTCCTTATCCTTCTCCTTTAATTGAATTAAAAAATTTGAGAAAGGAATAATAACATTTAAACAAAATTTTTTTTGTAGTTGTAGATGTACAGCATGCTTTTATTTTATTTGTCTATTTTTATTTGGTGCTGAGGATTGAACTCATGCATGCTAGGCAAGCGCTCTGCCACTGAGCTATAGCCCAGCCCAATAACATTTTTAATAAAGTTAAATTTATGAGGTTATCTTTTCCATTAAAGATGGCTGTTTTATTGTACCTTATCCATTTGTCTATGGCATTCACAGGAGCAAACATTACTGATACATTTTTTGAGGACAGGGCCTCAGTGGGGCTGCATCTAAATTCTTGCTTTCTGGAGATACAATAAAGTAGATCTGTATAACACCCCTGTGAATCTCCTGGGGGAAGATATAAAATGTGTACAATTGTGATTTAGGTACTGAAGACAACAACAGAAGCTATGATTGATGTAAACATTAACAAGAATCTGGTGGGCTCTGCCATGGCCGGGAGCATAGGAGGCTACAATGCCCATGCCGCAAACATTGTTACCGCTATCTACATTGCCTGTGGACAGGTGAGTCTCCTGCCTCCACTTCTCTTCTTTGTTACATTGTTCTAAGTGAAGGGATTTTACTGTCTTTTTTTGTTGTTTATCTTTCCAGGATGCAGCACAGAATGTTGGTAGTTCAAACTGTATTACTTTAATGGAAGCAAGTGGTCCCACAAATGAAGATTTGTATATCAGTTGCACCATGCCATCTATAGAAATAGGAACTGTGGGTGGTGGGACCAACCTTCTACCTCAGCAGGCCTGTCTGCAGGTATGACACATCTGGCACAGAAACCAGTAACCTCAAGCCTAGCTCTAACTGTTGGGGTTCAGTTTCTAGCCAATACTACATATCATTCCCCTCCATATTTTAGCTGGTACTGGTATGGCTCTTATTCTCATATTGGGTATATGGGTCTTGATCTTTTGTTTCCTTCCCAGTGGATCCAAATTCAGAGTAGATTAAAAGAGCACATGTATGTACACTGCCAGCCAGCTTGTGGATTTTGTTACTATGGTATATGAATTGTTAGTCCTAGCTGTAAATTCTTGGAAATTTAGTACTTCATCCACTGGAGTCTAATTTTATGCTGTTGTCATTATTTGCCGTTATTTTAGTTGATTTTGTGATACATTGTTGTTCCTGACTTTAAGGGTGAATCGACTATCTTTCTCTTCTGGCCACAGATGCTAGGTGTTCAAGGAGCGTGCAAAGACAATCCTGGGGAGAATGCCCGGCAGCTGGCCCGAATTGTATGTGGTACAGTAATGGCTGGGGAGTTGTCACTGATGGCAGCATTGGCAGCAGGGCATCTTGTCAGAAGTCACATGATTCACAACAGGTAAGACAGATAGCTTGAACATGTTTTATCCCTATACTTAAAACTAATTGCAGTATGAAAGCTTAATATTCAGACACTATACTCTCAAATTAAAATTTTGCATTCCTAACATTTTCTATATTGCTACTTTGTCTTTTTCTGCATAGGTCAAAGATAAATTTACAAGACCTTCAAGGAACTTGCACCAAGAAGGCAGCTTGAATAGGCTGACGGTTCTGAACTGAAACATGGGCATTGGGTTCTAAAGGACTAACATAAAATCTGTGAATTAAAAATCTCAATGCAATGTCTTGTGGAAGATGAATGGATGTGATCAGTGAGACAACTGCTTGATTTTTTTCGCTTTCAGAGAGGTTTGAGGTCCTTTCCATGCAGACTCCTCATATTGGAAAACAGTTTTAGTGCTTTGTATGCTGTGTTCTTTGGAAAGATCTCAACTGGATATTATGCTTTAAAGTATCACAGATGTAGATGGTAATCTACATAGAGTTCACTTCTGAAAGCACATACAAGCTGAAAAAAAAAAAAAGGTGTTTTTTCTTTTGATGAAATGATGAAGTTAATGATGATTAGTTTGAGATTGTCCTTCCCCCAACCTCTAATGGGTTAAAAATGGATTTTTAAATTATACTGTAGCTGATAAAACTTCTGATTTTATAGTTAATTTATTTAGTCTGAGTTGTAGAACTTGACAATATAAGAGCTAAGTTTATTTTTTTGTAAACTAATAATTCATTTGGTGCTGGTCTATTTTGATGGGGTTGTAACCAATATTCTTGTTCAGAAGGGGACCTGCTTCTTCAAGGGAAGAATTATTCTTCTCAAACTACAGAATAATGTGCTAAGCAGTGCTAAATAGTTCTCTATCAAGAAAACAAATCACTGCATTTATCTCTGTAGGCTGTTTGTTCAGAGAGGCCTCTTGTCTAAATATAAATGTTTGTCTGATTGGCTATAGCATGTCTTTCAGCATTAGGCTTTAAGGAACAGTTTTATGCTCTTTACTAAAGATTGATCAGGTCTGTGTTGCTTAGTCAAGGTGACTCTGTCACGTATAAGCAAGTCTGTGACCTCTCTCAGAATGTAGAAACACAGTTGTGAAAGAAAAACACCATTTCTCTAAGCCAACTTTAATTTCTTTAAAGATATTTTAATTTATTTAGCTGAAAGTTTTAGATAGTTTTTTTTTTTTTTTTGTAAACAAACTCTATCAAAACTGTATATGTTGTAATAAAGCTTCTTATGCTAGGAATTTCTTGAAAGTGTTCCAGAAATAAAGAAAAATCAACTTGTATGCTGATAAAAAACAACAAAACATAAAAACACCTCTAGTTTGGGCCACAGAAGATAGTGTTCTTAAACGTTGTCCAGGAAATCCTGGCTTGCTTGCCAAGCCTAACATAGGAAAAGTCGGCCTGCACAGCCACTGATGGAGCCACGTGAACGGCCTGGAGTTGTGTGCCTTGTTCCTGTGGCTAGGAGGCTGGTGACGGAATCATCCACACAGGGCTTTTTAATGGACCCATAAAAGCTCTTAGCTTCCTCAGGGGGTCAGCAGAGTTGTTGAATCTTAATTTTTTTTTAAATGTATGAGTTTTGTATAAATAATAAAGAACTCCTTATTTTGTATTACATCTAATGCTTCAGTGTTGGTCTTGGAAAGCTGATGTCTCATGTGGAAGGTGGACTCTGGAGAACATTCCACGATGCCATAGCAGCATGGAGAGCCTCTTAGTGGTCGTATCCGCAGTATTATAGAAGATCGACCTTTTCTGTTCTGCATAATGTTTAAATAGCTCCTATTGTGACTTTTCAGACAGTGATTATTTATCTGAGTATCTTCATGGAAGTGGCAGTGAACAGTATGTTGAATGTTAATTTTGGTGATTGTAACCAATTTCATCTTGCTAAATTAATGTTTTGTACAATTTCTGAACTGTATACATTTTGTTACAGAGGACTTTTTTCCAGCTCCAGTAAATTATGAAAAGGAAGTCAATGCGGATAAGTGTAAGCAGTAGCCTTTTTTGTTTGGATTAACTCTAGGCTTGTGGCCTGGAAGCTTGCAGTTTGGCAGAATGGTAATCTATGATTCATACTATTTGGTCATGATCATTTTTCATTCTCCATTATGTTGTCTAGCTCCGCACATGAATGGCAGGCCAGTGTTTTATGTGAATTAAAATGGTCTATCATCTCAACCAGGCTACTTTTGCATATCAAGGGTGGAAGTTTTAGCTGAAAGGAAGAGAAAATGAAGATAGGGCAGCCAAAACCAAGTAGTCATTTCAACTGTGTATTTAGGCTGTATCAGAAGGGCATTTGTACAGCTTTGTATAGCTGAGATTAGTTTTGTTAGAATAGCTTTTATTTACTTGCAATTATTGACTCCACTTTTACTGTAGTGAGAGGTGAAGATGTTGTGTATGTTCTATTGAGAACATGAGCCCAGATACTAGAAAATGGGTTTGAGTTTTTTTCCTGAAATGACCTGACTAAACCTGGGTCATCTCCCTCAGGGCTCTCAAGGGAGGTTTGGCACTCTTAGAACAGGCTAGACCGAAGATGGTGAAAGTCTTTGAAACCTGCTTTCTGCTTGGATCATAGCATGTGGCAGGACAGGTGTGTTAGTATTACAATAACAAATACCTGAAGTAAATCAACTTTAAAAAAGAAAGGCTATTTTGGCTCACGCTCTGGTGGTTTCAGGCCATGACTGACTGTTGCTTTGGGCCTGTGGCAGTGTGGTACATCATGGCAGAAGTACATGGTCAGTCCCATTCACCTCACGACTGGGAATTAAAAAGGAGTGAAAGAAAGACCAGGGTGCCTTGATAGACTTTGAAGGCATGTCCCCATGACTAGAAGACCTCCCATTCTGCCACATCTCTTATTAGAGATTCCACCACCTCCTAATAGCTTCTCAGGCTGGTGACCAAGCCTTTAACAATGGGGGCATTCCATATGCAAACTACAGCAATAGGATTTTTCTGCATTTTCAGAGAGGAATATAGAATTAAGTCCAAGAATTAAATCACATTGAAGGGCCTGAGCTCAAACAAGTACACAGAACAGCAAAACACACCAATATCAATTCACTGTACAGGAGATTGAGGTAACCTTTATGCTGGAAGCTAAGAGGAGATAACACATGATTTTAGTTATTGTGTTAAGATTAACAGATTCTGTTTTTCACTGTGGTATACGTGGAACATTCCTCCCTCCCCTTTATTTCCTCTCCTCAGCAATTCAGGGCTCTCAAGGGAGATTTGGCACTCTTAGGTCAGGATGTGAGTTAGATTCTAACTGCTCCTGAAGACCTTGCATCAACAACTGGAGTTAGGAGGATGGAATACAAGAGAATGTTCTATTCATTTTCAAACATAAGTGAGTGTCACATCACCTAGAGGAACTGTTCGATGAGATTGCTGGGCCAGCCCCAGGATTTCTGTTTCCCAGTGTCTGGGGTGGGGGCCAGGACTTTGGCAGCTCTAACTTCCTGCTGCTGGTACTCTTTGACATTTAAAATTTCGGTGTGAATCAATATTAGAAAATTGTGTTTATTCAGAAACACAACTGGAAAACACCGACAGAAACCAAGTGCTGGGAAATGAAGAATTGGAATTAATCCTAGGAAGGTTAATTAACCATTTAAAAAATGTTTGGATTTGGTGCTTCTCCCCCAACCCTACCTCCACAGTCCCTGAACAACACTGAAGGTCTTTGCATCTTCAACAGATGCACTGACACTTTCTGATACTATTTCCCTCTTGTTACCTGTGCTTGCAAAGGTCCAAATAAAACAACAGGGGAGCTGGGTGTGGTGGGGCATCCCTATAACCCCAGTGACTGGAGGCTGGGGCAGGAGGATAGCAAGTTCAAGGGTAGCCTGAACAATTTAGTGAAACTGTCTCAAAATGAAAAGGGCTAGGAATGTAGCTCACTGGTAGAGCTCCCTGGGTTTCAATCCCCATTCTGCAAAAAATAAAAACTAGCAGAAGGCAACAAGAACAACAAAATAATTGAACCACTGTTAGAGGGTGGTATGTACCACTATCTACTCGCCGTTCTTGTCCCACCTGCCCTGTCACCCTGAAGTTTGACTCCTTTGTGCTTCCCCAAATTTACAGTAGAATGCATTTTGACATTTTGTACACAAATGGAGCACAACTTCTCATTCCTCTGGTTGTACATGGATCAGAGTCACCTTGCGTTTGGTCAAGGAACTTGGCAAGAAAGCATCAGAAAGTAATCCAAAACGGAAGGGCAGTTGCCATCTATCTGGCCTGGGTTCATTATGTCACTTCTTTGTTTTCAAGTCACTTGTAAACTGAAGGTAATCGGGGCATAGTGGAGGACAGTTAAGGAAGCAATTCTGGCTCAGTCAGCACTCTAACACAGAGAGTCCTTCCTGATGTATGATAGAAGAACCTCACCAACTTTCTTGTTGCCCTGAGACTTTTCACTCTACAGTGTCATTTTTTAAAATATTTTTTTTAGTTGTAGATGGACACAATACCCTTATTTTGTTTTTATTTTTATGCGGTGCCGGGATCGAACCTAGTGCCTCACAGGCTAGGCAAGCGCTCCACCACTGTGCCACAACCCTGGCTCTACAGTGCCATTTTTGATCTAGACTTGGGCTATGGCCTTATAGGACTACAGTGAAACTATCACTTCTTGTGTCAGTCTTTTGTCATCTAGGGCAAACCTGTGAGAGCCCTCCTTAAGCCTTCCTCTCAATACTTAGTTCTGTGTGGGGCAGCCCACCCATCCCAGGTCATGGCTTCTTAACTGATCTAAAAGCTTTACTTACAATCCTTGTTAAGTAACCAAGGCTTAAAAATGGCTTGCTGATCTAACCTACAATTTTAATGGGAAAGTCTTGGGGAAAAGCCAGTCTTTAGCTTGCTCAGGACAGAGCTTACCCAGGCCAGTAAGAATTGAAACCCTCAATACCTCATCAGATAAAAAGTAATGGACACATGTCTTCAATAAATGTGTTTCTTGATGAATTAATTTTGTACATTATCAAAATAACATATATTTTTGTTATATGGGCTAAGGGTATGGCTCAGTGGTAGAGTACCAGCTGGGCATGTACATAGCCCTGGGTTTGATCCCTAGCACCACAAACAAAACTAAAGTTGAAGATCTTTTTTTTCTACACTCTAATGGCAAATCTCGCCCACATTCCTCGGGACTGAGCTTTTTTCCTTGTGACCTTAGAACAAGTACCTTACATTTAAAGGTCCTCAATGTTTGTTAAATGGCTGACAGACTCAATTAATATAGTTAGCACTTATGCTGAAGAGAAATCATTTACAATAGGAAGAGGAAGGCTGTGTTGAGGGAGCTGGGAATCCACAGACCTCCATTCCAATCCTTGCTCTGCTACTAACTGGCTGGGACACTTTAGGTCATTCAGTTCATCCTCTCTTGCCTTCAGTTCCCTTATTTGTACAGTGAGCTGGGGGTTAGCTGGCTTCCAGGGCCTTATCTAGCTGCATATAGTTTATGAAGTGCTATATTTATTTTTGTGTATATATACACACTAAGTTCCACTGATAGTCTGATATGTACACATCCTTTATAGGACAGATATATCCTTGTGGTGGTAGATTAAACCCCAAACAAGCCAAGTGACTTAGTTCTGCTCAGAGCCCTAAAATGTTTGTATCTTTGCCAATATTTCTGTGCCTTGCTCATCATCCTCTCTAACACAAAAAAGTAGGACCTAGAATATATCTGCAGTTGTCTTAGTAACTCCTCACATTTGCACATTGCTTTAAAAATTTTAAAGCATTTGTAAATACTTTTATCTTGTTCTTCCCCCCAAACCTTGTAACTACGGTAGGTGGCTTTGTATTACTTTATAAAAGTTTCCAACAGACACAGATGTGTTTAATTACTTGCCCAAGATCAGTTGTTTAAGTGAGAAAGTTAGAAAGCCGTCAGTCTTCTCATTCTTTCTCAGTTTGTTGAATTTATAGTAATTAGAAACATGAAAATTCATATAGACGTAAGAACAACAACAAAAAGTATTGGATGCTAGGAATGAAAGAAAAAGGTCAAAATCATTGATTATAAATTATAGCTTTAAAATGAATAATCAGGGGGCTCAGGGTGTAACTCAGTGTTGGAATGCTCAGCATGTGCAAGGCTCTGTGGTCATCCCCAGCACCACCAAAAGGGAAAAATATCATTAATTTGATGCTATCATTGTGCAGAGAGGTTGGTGAGCTTGTTAAAACACAACAACCCATTTCTTAATCTACCTTTTGAGAACACAACTAAGAATGATGAATCAAAGATCTTTGCATGTGTTTAATGTACCTGATCTCAGAATTTCTTAATTCTTGTCTTCTAAAAAGTTTGGTTATAGCAAAAACAATAAAGCCCTTATGACAAGAAGATAAACGCCAGATATTGTTTATTGTTGTATCTCCAATCCTGGAACACATGGCACATAGTAGGTGATCAATAAATACTGGGCTGAGGATATATAGCTCATTGGAGCCTAGCTCAAGGCCCTGGATCTGATTCCCAGCATTGCAAAAACAAAATTTATTCTGGGGAAAAAAATTATTCTGGGAACTGCTTTGGGTACTAGGAAATCATCTATATCTATCAAGTTACTAAATGGTTTGGACATTGACTAAACCTCAAATTAGCTGATGCAGATTCCCTGCTGCTGGATCTAGCTACCATATAAGCCTCACAATTCTAAGAAATAGTAATAAAAAGCATGGTAAATTGACTTGGGGGATATATCCAAAGTTTGTTTTCATCAAAATCTTAAGAGGTCCCTGTGGAAGATGGCTCACAAATCAGTGATACCTAATTGGAACTTGTCCAAGGGTTGAAAAATCTGAGATAAAATAATGCTCCTTGGGCTTCTTTGTAGTGGTGTTCTGTTTCTTGTTTCATCCCTCTAAGGCACCAAATGGTGGTCAAATTTCATTTCTTTAAAAAAATATTTTTTAGTTGTAGTTGGACACAATACCTTTATTTTTATGTGGTGCTGACGATTGAACCGAGGGCCTTGCATGTGCTAGGTGAACGCTTTACCACTGAGCCACAACCCCAATCCCTGAAATTTCATCCTTTATTGAACTCCTTCCTTTATCTGATGGGATTTTGTGGAGTCAATATTGAAATGTAGGGTTAAACATGTTAGCTTTCTCTATTCCATTAAATACTATATCCTAGCTGTTAGGAACTTAGACATTTCCTCATTTGTAAAGTAAACATGGTTCCACCAACCACCACCATCATCTCACAGGATTGCTGAGTGGGGAGAAGTCAGAAAAGCATGCACAGTACCTAGTACAGACACAGGGAAGCATCCTTATTGGGCAACTCATAAAGCCTGCAAGATAAGAAAATTTTGATTGGATATCTTTTTAGTTTTTTTTTTTTATACTAGGGATTAAATCCAGGGACGCTTAACCATTGAATCACATCCTCAGCCCTATTTAATTTTGAGACAGTCTTGCTAAGTTGCTGAGGCTGGCTTTGAACTTGTGATCCTCCTGCCTCAACCTCCCGAGCCACTGGGATTACAGTGTGCACCACTGTGCCTGGTTAGACTGGGCATCTATTATCAATTTCAAAGGTCTTTATATGTTCTAGTACTAAACTCATGGAATTCTATGGAAGAGAAGAAATAAAATAGCTTTGCTTCTTGTGTAAAGTTATTCAAAGTACATAGATGTGGAAGATTCACAGAAGATTTGTTTTAGTACATGCAAATGATGAGTCCAAGTGTAATCAGGGTCAAACAATGGCAAGAAAATCCCCTTAAAATGAATAAATTATCCTGTGAGTACATTAAACACCAATAAAAATACTTTAAATACATTTTGCCAAAAAAGTGTAAGAAAACCTAAAATACAATAAAAGCAATCCAGTTTGAAATTGCTAGAAATATACCTATCTGCAGGTTATATTCCAAAGTTGACTTGCTAAGGCAGACTTTAGTTAAAATTGCCCTTGAAAAACCCACTAGAACTACCATGTACTGTACTATTTCTTTGTTAAATGCAGCTCAACAGCCAGATTTCCCTTCCAGCACCAGACTATGCATTAGTTTTTGTTGAAATGCCAGACATTAATAATTTAAAGGAAGTAGGAGTTATTTTGGATCAGTTTCACTTTATGGTCAGCTGCTCTGTTGCTTTATGTTCAGGTGAGGTAGAACATCATGGTGAGAGAGCTGCTCAGGTCATGGCAGTCAGGCAAGAGAGGAGAGAAAGAAGACCCACGCCTGGGATAAGAGATTCCTGAAGGGCACACTTCCCGGTGATCTTCTTCCAACCATGCCCTACTACCTAGTTTTCTAACACAATATCCAATAGATAAATCCACAGATGAATTATGCCCTCATGATTCAATAATTTTCCCCATAGATCCACTTCTGACTCTGGGGGACATTTTAGATCCAAACTACAACACGGATTAAGTAGTTGGCTTGTGTTTACTGGTCAATCATTTGGATATATTTTTGAACACAAGTAATATGTTCAGCACTTCTGAATACAAGCATGGAGGGATCCCATGGTTGCTGAACTGCAAATTCACATTTCTCCTCTAATGGTTGGTCTAGGGAATAATTTCCCTGAGTTCAACAAGTGAAGCTGACCATATTATTTAAATAAAATGAGAATTATATATTTATGACTAAGTGCATACAGTCCAAGTATAAGTCAAATGTAATGTATGACCACTGGCACTGTGCTTCCCTTTTAGAAACAGCTGTGTATATAGCTTCACCCTCCAGCAATCTTATAAAATACTGAACATGACCCACAGTAATAATTTCATTTTAAATTGTAACCTACCACACGCATATGTATATATGACACAAGATTAACAAAATATTTACCTTTATTATGTGCCATGTACTTGATTATATCTCATCCTTTTCTATTTTGTTTAAAAAATATTTAGGTTGAATCTCACAAATAGTTTTCTTGTTCCCCTAACTGGGATCCAGACAAACTTATTGTTTGAAGAAAATTGGAATATTTCAAGAAAGATTTTTAACTACTCCGAGAATTAGGTAAGAAACAGACAATATCTTGGGGTTAAGGAAGACAAATCAAGCAACATTTGTCCATAATATTTTAATACTTTTCCACTTTTAAATACTGGTTTTAATTTTGTGATTGTAACATGGAAGATCCAACTTTATTATTTAAAAAAATCATCATAATCATAAAGCTATTATAGTTACACTCTACACACTCCCAAGGTACTTTAAAATGATTATGTTTTGAGTCTGTAGATGAACAATGACAATAATCCAAATACATTATCTGTACAACCTGGACTAAATACTGGTGAAGTGTTTAATTGGACAAACAACTAATAAGCTTAAAGATAACCAGCACAATTTCACAAGAGAATCAGCTCAGCCCAACGAAAATTTTTTCAACTGCAGTTGACACTGATGTATAGGTGTACAATTAGTTGATGAAACTGAACAAACAGGAAACCAATTCTTCCTTCTCCTTATTTTGCCTTCTTCACACCTCTTAGAAACATCCCCTTGCCTCTGCAGCAATCCCAAACTAAGTGCTGCAATGATCCTTCCCCACTGCAAAATTACAAGTCCTTAATTCCAACACTGCTCTCTCAATTCAGTGGGCATTCAGGGACAAAACCCCCACAACACCAATATTTTTCAGGTTTCTAACACGGCACAAAAGAGTAACTGAGTAGAAAACAGTAAAAGTGGGAAAAGAGAATTATCTGTGGATGAGAAAACATCAAGAATATTCAGTTTACAGGAATTGGCCATATGAAAATAATTCTAGAGGGTCTGAATATTGTCTAAAAGGCCAGTTCCTCTCCAAATTTTGACTTCTTTTGAACTCTTCATATTCTGGAACTCATTTCTAAATCTGATTAGGCAGGATTAACTCCAGTGAAGTACCAGTGCAGTTATCTAAATGTAAAATGTATCTTTACTTTTCTTCCTTTTTTTAATACAAATATTTTTAGTGTAATCTTTTTATTTACAGAAAAAATTGCAAAAGTATATCACATTTAGTGCAAATGCAACTAATGATTAGATTTAGATACTGCTTTGTAAACTTTCCATATTTTTGTAAAATAAAGCTATCCAATTTAGTTATCAAAGAGCTACTTGTCCATGTTCATATATTTACCAGAAATGGCAAACAGAGAAACATTTATAGTGGGCATAGAGATTTTTTTTTTTTTTTTTAAGATTCCCATCAGCGCCTATGGTGAATACACTTTCCCTCCCAATCCCTCCCATTTTCCCATCCCGACCCCACAGCTGATTGTAAAATAAAATACACATTTGAGGTATAAACTTTTTTTTTTTAAACATCACATTATAAAATGTTAACTGGTGATGTAGTAAACTGGTATGATAATTTGTCTTATTTGCCTTACTAACATTACCACCATATAGGCACTTTTCCACAGTCAAATTATGAACAGTATTTTTCTGTAATAAGGCATATTCCATGCACATCATTTAAAGAAAGGTAAATTAAAAAATAGAAAAGATTTATGGAGCGTGAAATTTGCGTGCATGTAAGTATATGTTTTATATGTATTTTTCTCTCTGTACAGAATAATAAATATCACTATATCTGATGCAAGTAATTTACTTCCAGGATTATGCATATTAAGTGATCAGACTAATCCCATCATTAAATTATTACCTTGCATTTACATTAGACTCCATTACCACGTATGAATATATACAGGGCATGTTCTATGTGACGTGATTTTCTGCTTTACAAAATGGGTCTGTTTTCTGTTTCTAAAGAGATAAACAGCAAAGCATCTACAAAATGCCTCTGATTTATATAAATATATTGTGTATAAACACAATGAAGATTTTTGAAGTGGGCAGTCATTTTGACTTCAACGAGTACCATTCCTTGCCTCAACTCCATGCTTCAAGGTTTTTTCACAGAGGACTAAAACTAAAAAAGATATTTTACATGTTAAGTTCTTAAAGTAACTAGGGAAAGCATTTCAGTTTGAATCATGTATAACCCTTTACTGCTCTGCTAGGGTTTCTGATCAAGAGGCAGAGAGGAGCCCTGCTCAGATTTTCTATGCATACCTTTGCCACTTTTTTAAACTGACCCGAATTACAACAAACATATCTGTTACTAAATACTAAAAATACTGAATCAAAATGTCAAATTCAAACAGTCTGATTTGCTTTAAAAAGTAATACCATATATTCTTTTACAAATTTCAGGAACACGTGAGCTCATTTTATCCTGACCATTTTACCAGAAAGTAGTCTATATCCACAAGATTTGTACAAATATTTCTGTTTGAAGGCAGGCAGAACCAATTTAGGAATTACTAAATTGTGTTTGCAATAAATTGAAAAAAAATTGTAGCATAGTACACAACTAAAAAATACAATAGAAATATAAAGATATCTGGGGGAAAAAAATAAAGCTTTTCACTCTTTCTCCATCAGAACCAAGGTTCTTCATAGGAGTAAGACTATAGAAAAGGCAAAATCACACGTTATTGACAGCCCTCATTATTAAAAGACACTTACATGACAACATGAATAATTATAGAAATCAGCAGCAATGAGTTCTATGATTATACAAAGCAAAAATTCAAAAAAATTCTGGACACAGAGTTTGACTGTAGGCCTGAAAAAGAACCCTATCTGGATATGTGGTGCACAGAAAGCACATGCCCCATGTGCATTTAACTTTTGTGCTTCTCTTTTGTGCACAAACTCTGAGACAACCAAGAATCTTAGGCTGGACCATAGGAAATTAAAAATTCTGAAAAAGTTTCCCAAAATTAAAGCATCAATTTCTAGTTGTGATTTGAAGTTGATTTTTTTTTCTCTTCTGAGCACGCAAATAAAAATATAGCCATATACATGTAATTTTACATGTATTTATAGTTATATGCTGAGCCAGGAGATCTAGCACGAGACAGCTAGTATTAGATGTTCAGTTTTACTATTGCAATATTTCTTCATTTTTGTACACAAGGTCAAGGTCTTGGGCCACACACAAGGCTGTAGATCCTATGTTCCAGCTTAGAGCATTCAATATTTTCTTTTTGTTCTCCAACATGGAATGTCACACAGCCTTGCTTTGACACTGCAGAAAAGAAAATGACAAGTAAAATCCTCAGCACTATATAACTAACAGCTGCAAGACTACTAGAACAGATTCCTCCCACCTTCTAGATTCATGAAATACATAGAATCTCTATTAAAATTTATCTTCTATGGATTTTTACCTTCATGAATGTGAAATTATTAGTCTTATATATTTGAAGTTGATCTTCTCGGCAAGGAACAGAAAGTATTAAGCAATCTTTTGAAAGTGAAAATTTACTCTTTTTGGTACCAAGGATCAAACCCAGGGATGCTTAATCACTGAGTCACATCTCCAGCCTGTTATTTTTTAATTTAGAGACAAGGTCTTTTTAAGTTGTTATGTTAGGGCCTTGCTCAATTGCTGAAGCAGGCTTTGAACTTGTCATTCTCCTGTCTCAGCCCCACAAGCTGCTGGGATTACAGGCTTGTGCTACAGCGCCCAGCTGGAAAGTGATAAAAAATTTTAAAAAGAGCAAAGTGTTATTGGTAAACAAAGAAGAAATCAACCAGTATAGGTCTCTGCAGTTTTATCCCATAAACTGGTATTTATTCTTCTTATCCTTCAATAAAACTGTCACACAATACCATTTATCAAGAATATAAAAAATTTACTCAAGCTATGGGAGAAGGGTTTACCTTATTTAAGAAACAACCAGGGACTGGGGTTATGGGTCAGTGGTAGAGTGCTTGCCTGACATGTGTGAGGCACTGGGCTTGATTCTCAGCACCACATATGAATAAATAAATGAATAAATAAAATAAAGGTTCACTGACAACTAAAAATAAGTAAGTAAAGAAAGAAAGAAACAACCATGCTCAAATCCTTTGTTAAAGAGTTTTGACTGTATTAAAATTTTTGGAACTCATTAACTTTACAGAACTTCTCTAAGGATGATACACACTATTAAAACTTACTATCTTAAATTAAGTGTGTTAACATTCCGAGGGTTTCTACTCAAATATACATCTTTCATAACTGTTGTGAAAAATTGCTACTCTAAGATTTTCACCATATTTTAAGGCTTAAATTTAGACCTTTTGTCAGAAAAAAAATTCAACCTGGACTCAAAGAACCAGGGTTGAGATTTAATCAGTCAATCTGTTCAGTATATCTTTGTATACATGCATAAAAATCCACAAATAATGGTATGTCCTTCCTCAGAGAGAAATTTTACAAAAAGACCCTTGTAGGTTCACAAAAGAAAAATACATATGCATGTATGTACATATTACATGCATACCACACACCCAGTAAAACACTACTCCAAATCCAACATTCTAGAGGCAAATGTTATTAATATCTTGGCATGTTTATCTCAAAATGTTTACATGTTCTGTATACAAACTACATTCTGATTTCTCTTGCCTAACACAAGGTTATATTTTGTCTTGCTTAACTGAATATGCAGGCTGTTTTAGTAAGGAAGTCAACATAAAACATTAAAAGGGAGGCCCTATTAGCAGGGTTGAGGTGAAGAAGAGGAAAGGCAGATGCTTGATCTTGGTTAGGGTGAAACAGAAACACTTTAGAAAGCTAAGGTCACAGCAAGATATCCAGCTAAGTAGATGTCAAGTGTGTACAGAGATAAGCCATAAATTTTCTGGTTTATTTGATAAATATGGGACAGAGACAGAATCAAACTAATGTGCCTAGATCTAGCTTTAACAATCCTAAAGTACAAAATGTTCTAAAATCGTAATGCACTTGTGTAGTACACTTAATGCTTTAAGAGAAAGAATTCCTGAAATGTTAGGCTATATTAATAAACGCTAACATTCAAGTAACTAAGACTAGAACCTGTTAAATGTTTCACTGGACAAACTAAATATCTGAGATATCAGTGTTCTATGTTATGCTAATGTCTCAAAGTAAATTTAGTCTTTGGGGTTATTTTTTTAACATCAGATTTAAAGAACTGAAACATGCTTAAATTTACTCAAAATAAGAGAAACAAAACTCCACTGAGACAGAATGCATATATTTTGCCTATCAAGATGAGAAAGAAATCTAAAAATTTTGTTTCACACGTTGCCCTCCAATCCATTGTTGCTGGTGAGAAGGTAAATTAATACATCCTCCATGAAGGGCAATATCTAAATTACAAATGTAAGAACACTTAGCAGAAGCAGCAGTACCACATTTAGTAGTTTATTTTACATATAAACTTCCGAGTTCAAAATGACATATGGATACAATTGAATACCGTCTTAGGAAAACTTAGAAAAATCTTTTATACCACATACAGAACTAATTAAATTATGTGTATCCATATAATGTAATACTGTATAGCCATTAAAAAAAAAAACAAAGAAGCTCCCAACCAATATGGTAAGAAGTTCAAGATAAGTGCAAATAGGGTTGGGGATATAGCTCAGTTGGTAGAGTGCTTGCCTTGCATGTACAAAGCCCTAAGTTCAAACCCCAGCATCACATTAAAAAAAAAAAAAAAAAAAAAGGAAATACAAGATGCCCAACAGTATATCAAATGCTGCGTTCTCTTTAATGCTACCCCCTCTCCCACAAAAAAAAAAAAAAAAAAAAGAAAGTGAAAGAGGCACTTGCATTTGCTTGTTTAGGCCATTAAAAAAAAAATTAAAAAAAAAAATCTCTACAAGCCAGGTGTAGAGGCTGAGGCAGGAGTATAACAAGTTCTAAGTCAGCTTAGGCAACTTAGTGAGACACTGTCTCAAAATAAAAAAGGGCTGGGGATGTGCCTCAGAGGTAAAGCACCCTGGGTTCGATTCCCAGTACCACGAGAACAAAAAACAAAGACAAATCTCTAGAAGTTACTCAAGAAACTAGTAACATCATATATCACAATATGCATATGATACTCTACACAGATTATACAGTATATAATTACATAATACATTATTATTTTTTGATTGGTGGGCAGAATGAATGGGGGGATAGGGTAAGTTTCACTCTACACTTTTGACTTTGGAAACATGTTAACGTATCACTTGTCAAAAAAAAGATTCTAGCTCCATGCATAAAGATGTTCAGTGCAAAAAAAATATAGAACTGACCCAGGCATCATTATGGTATTGGTCAATAAATTCTGCAACATTTCTTTAACAGATGTTGAAAGAATGAGCTTTATTCTTTATATGGACATACCGTAAAGATTATTGTTAAATGAAAAAAAGCAAGCTGTAAAATACTAAGTATAAATACATTTTTTGAAGCACTCAAAAATATGTCAGTATATGCATAGAAAAGTTTGGAAGAACACACACAAAGAATAACAGTTTCTAGGAATGGAAAGAAACAGGGAATTTACATTTCTGAAGCTTTATAGTTACATGCAAATTCCCGTGTTCTTTCCTTTTCTTTAAGTAAGCATTAATAGAAGTGAACAAACAAACAACTTTTAAAGGTTACAACTATAATCTTTATCTGGGAACATCACAAAACACAGCAACCAGTTTCAACAACTAACTAAATTTTAATGTCTGCAGTGATACTAGTGTCAAATAAAATTAACATATCTTCCAGTACCTGTTTATACTAGAACAAAATAGGTTTTCCTGCAGTTTTTTCTTGAACATAAGAAGTAAAACGTTTTAGAAATTTAGGATACTCTCGTTTTGCCACTGCCCTTAACACTGAGGCTGGTGCCCATCCTCCAGGATTAACTGCAAGATAAAGGAAAATTAAATCCTATTAAGATATAATTCTTCATGTACATGTGAAGCACTTACTTTGTTCCTTTGCTTTTTAAAACTTTCTCATGCTGGAACACTTAGCATCTCTTAAAGTCACCATCTGTTAATTTCTTAATACTAACCCATCAGATACGATCAGAAAGCAAATAAAAAAGCATTTATTATCTTTCTAAAATATTCTTGGTTCGCTAAATTACATTCAAATATTAGTAAAAAACATTTTAAATTATTTAGGGTGTTTTTGTTCATCAACCTCTAATATAATTAAATAGTAACTTAGGTAAAATTGTTTCTTTAACTATATTTATAGTTATGACCCTGAATAAAGAAGGAGGTTTGAGTATTTGATAAGAGAGACTGCAATGACTACTCCAGGTGTAAAATGGGTATAGTAAGAAATGAAAGCAAGTGAGAAAAAGGACTGTCCAATAGTATGTGAAATATACATGAAATCAGGAGCTAATAAGGACCAAGAGAACAGTGATTCAGAAAACAAAAAGCCTGATTCACAAGAAAAAAAAGTCTATTAATTTCCCCCACTGCTCTAATCTTAATTATAAATATTCTATCAAGAAAATAATAAAATGGTTCTTAAAATCAAGAATATATGTGATAGTGACCCAGAGATGAAGTTTTAAAATTTGTAAATTCTCATGTTATAGGGTTTAGGGTGAAATTCAGTAAGTGTACTTTAAAAGCCTCCCAGAAAACTCTTTTATACATCTTTCCAAATTAAAAATTAATAATCTAAAGGATAAAAACTAAAAAAGACATGTTTTCCAAACTCAGGATTATATAGGTCATGATTAAGAATCTCTACATTATCAATTAGAAAAAAAAACAAAAAATACATACCATTTGCTACATATGTAATCTTGCATAGAATGTTGTCCCTGCTTATCTCCTGGTTTCCTTCTGGTGGGCTTACCAAGGTTTGACAAATCATAGCAATATTTATTTTGGCACGGACACATCGATTGTTTAGCTGCCAAATAAAAACAACAAAGCACCAGTGTAATAAATACTAGAAACCAGCTTAACCATAATCACAACACTTATTAAAATCTCCAATGAAATTATAAGCACCAATAAATAATACATACCAAATATGATCTGACACTGGAATTTTCCCTCCTCTTAAGTAGTAAATGGAGGTAAATCAATGAAATAGAAATTAAGTAGTAGTTGAAAATGGCTTAAGACACAACTGTGGGAAGTTGCTTACACACACATATATATATATATATACCATTCATATATATATATATATATATATATATATATATATATATATATATATATATATATATATATATACCATTCATATATATATATATATATATATATATATATACCATTCACTTGGTTCATTCCAACCTCAACAGGAAAGGAAAATAGACCTGGTAGGATAAGTTCATAGAATGACTCTTGCCCTCAGATAATACATGTACTATACTGTTCCAAGAGGTTGATAAAACATAAAACTTAAGACGCAAATCAAGTTATCTGTGCATGTGTATGGGGGGTATTTTTTTTATCCCCTTTACCCTGCATTGTGCATTTATTTATTTAAATTACTTAAGGGTGTACTGGGTGGGGGATTGAACTCGGGGCGCTCAACCACTGAGTTACATCCCCAGCCCTATTTTATATTTTATTTAGAGACAGGGTCTCACTGAATTGCTTAGCACTTTGCCATTGCTGAGGCTAGCTTTGAACTCATGAACCTCCTGTCTCAGCCTGCTGAGCTGCTGGGATTACAGGTGTGAATTACTGCACCTGGTTTGTGTATTTATTTTTATATAGTACAATTATACATTCATATACTGTACTTACAGGGGCACTGTCATGATCCACAGAGAAATTACAAACAATCCAAGTTTCAGGGTCATTTTCAGTCAAGGCTGGTATCTTTCGAATAGCAGAAAGATATAATACATCTCGCTGAGAAGCAGGCCACACTCTCTGTGGAAGAATTAAATCTTTTTGAAAATTTTAATTATTTTTTATTCAGATGTTACACAGAACTAAAAGAGAAACAAATTTAAAACCAATTAAGTGTCTTAGATGAAGGTGAAATTTGTCAAATTTTAAACTGGAAAGCATCAGGGAATACCTACCAAAGGACTAATTACGAACACTGAGTAAATGGCTTTATAGCACAATATAATTAAAGAATATTCTATCTTCTTTAATTGTAGGAAATTTTCCATTTTAACTAATTTTTAGTGTTAATTCAGTGGAATTAATTACATTCACAATGTTATGTAATCATATCCTTTATCTATTTTTGAAACTTATCATCACCCCAACAGAACTCTATAACCATGAAGCAATAATGGCCCATTTACTTCCCCTTTCTTTGGTAGTGATACATATAGAGACTCAAGGCTTAAAAATCAGATTTTAGGGACAAGAGAGCCATTCCTTTGATCTAGTGCATTTGAAAGAATTTTGATTTAGTACATTTGAAGAATCAATTGCAAATTTTGATATAGTACATTTGAAGAATAATTTAGATCAAACATTTATTTCTATTATAAGAAATGCAAAGAAAAAATGCTCTGTTAATGACATGGAGCTTAGGTCTACTTTCAAATGATAGAAAAATAGCTTTTATCCTTCCTAAGTTATCTTTAATTTGGGTGTTTGGTATACGTAAATAAACGCAGTCTTTATTACAGTATCTTTCCAGATTATTGACTGCAATAAATAGCCAACAACTCACTTTCAATACATCACAAAGTATTTGCAAAGGGAAATGGCTCATCTTTTAAAGATATAAAATTTCATGAAGTTGATCATAGTAGTGTTGGAAAAAAGTATGTGAAGCAATGTAAACAAAAATTTATTACTGGCTTCAAAAATACTAGCCCAACATTACTTTATAAATAAGCTGAGCACTGTAGCATGCTTGTAGTCCCAGCTACTTAGGAGGCTGAGACAGGAGGATCACTTGAGCCCAGGAGTTTAAGGCCAGCCTGGGCAATGTAATGACATCCTAGCTCAAAAACAAACAAAAAACTAGAACTAATGAATGCAAGTATATCAGAATAATAACAAGTGAATTAAATACCAGAAGACAAGCAGGCCTCTTTAAGATTATATTATAAAAGTAGTAAATAAAAACAAAAAAAAATTTTGAGGGGTACTGGAGATTGAACCCAGGGGGTGCTTAACCACTGAGTCACATCCCCAACCCTTTTTATTTTGAGATAGGTCTTGTTAAGTTGCTTAGAGCCTCGATAATTTGCTGAGTCTGGCCTTAAATTTGTGATCCTCTTGCCTCAGCCTCCTGAGTTGCTGGGATTATAGGCATGCACCATTATGTCCAGCAAAAAAGGCAAATTTAAAGGGAAAGATATTAGGGACTGGGTTGTGGCTCAGTGGTAGAGCGCCCACCTAGTGTGTGAGACCCTGGGTTTGATTCTCAGCACCACATTTTTTTTTTTTAAAGAGAGAGAGAGAATATTATTATTTATTTATTATTTTTAGTTTTCATCGGACACAACATCTTTGTTTGTATGTGGTGCTGAGGATCGAACCCAGGCCTCACGCATGCCAGGAGAGCACGCTACTGCTTGAGCCACATCTCCAGCCCTCAGCACCATATATGAATAAATAAAAAACAAAGGTATTGCCCACCTACAACTAAAAAAAAAAAAGAAAGATATTATACACTGTTATTTGAGTTTGTTGAAAAATTATTCCAGAACAATCTATTTATTCTAAGAATTGGCAAATAATTGTAACTTTAATTCTGTTATATATTATTTTAATATTTTTTGGTTTTATGTTTTAATCCTAATATAACCTATAGGAACCCGCCTTCTCCCCATTATTTATCAGGCAGAGTATCATGGGCAGGTTGTTTCCCAGGTTTAATTATCTTCTGGTAATGAGATTCTTCTGATTCTAAATTATTAGTCATTTATCTTCATTATAAATTATAGGGCAATTAATTGAAATTTAACATTTACAAAATTTTAGATTTCACATTAGACCCCAAAACCTGCATCCTGAAACAGAATCTCCATTATTATTCATTTCTCGAGCAGCTACCAGGTAAAATGAAGTATAGCTCATAATTATTAGATAAATCTCAAATAATCATACTGGGCTCAGTAAATTCATAAGAAGCCTTATTTTCATATATTCCACTCAATTAAATAACTTAAGAGAACAATGAAGTCCTCACTGAATTGAAAAATGAAGTACATTTTGAATCATTTTATTTCTTAGATAACAAACAATACTGTTTTTGGTGGATATCTCCAAAATGGAATTATTATTTTTACATATAATATATCTTACTTGGCAATTTTCAGAAGGGAAATAGCAGAATAAGGTGAAATAAATGTTAATTCAATAATTCTAAATATCTAGAATAGCAGAGGGAGAGATGATATGAAGAAATTATCATCATCAAGAAATTATGTGAGAAATCATGTTTCTGTGTTCCCTGGTGTATTGACCAACCTCTCATTACTCATACTAAGCAACTTTTCCTTCTTTTTCAAAACTACTGGTCTCAACACTGGCTTGTAACATACATTCAGTCCCTTGCATTAACTGCTATCCAAGGAAACTGGGATTCACTTTCATAATTAGTAACTATCATTTATTATCTTTTGAGACTAGATGCTAAAAAAGTATTTAAATGGATTTCAAAGGTTCCTTTCTAAACATAATAAAGAGAAACTAAATATAGAGCTTTAGCAAACATTCTGTTTCTAGATTATATTTCTGATTCTTGACTACACACATTTCTGCTCTAAATGAACTGATATACCTTTCAAATATATTGACATTCATGAATTATTAATAAGATCTCTGAATCTTTTCTGGCATTTACATTTCTGCCAAATTTTACTTCGGAAAACAAGTATGTCTGAATTTGAATTACACTGGCATCTTTTGGGATGGGTGAAGAGATCTTTACCTTGTGCGTTTGATAAATGATGATTGCATTATCAGCTAATGTTTCCACCACATGAAAGTTTTCTATAGTTGCTGAAATTAAGAGAATAATGTTAGTAGTGAAGAAACTGTAGTGCCTTTTCTAGAATGTGATCAGTTGGCTTATGCAGAAAGTCAATTGCAAATGGACACTATGGAAAAATGAACAAGATCCTGCCCTACCTCAGCTAAATCCAAATGGAAAATAGTCAATATTACTAGTACTACAGATTTGCTTTCATGTTTTAGATGGTGCTGTAAGGTCTGATCACCAGGAAATAAGTCTCATTTTCTACAGCCCAATATCAATCTTCCATAGCAAGAAAGTAATTCTTGGGGCTGGGGTTGTGGCTCAGCGGTAGAGTGCTTGCATAGCACTTGTGAGGCCCAGGGTTCGATCCTCAGCACAACATAAAAATAAATAAAATAAAGGCATTGTGTCCAACTATAACTGACAAATAAATATTAAAAAAAGAAAGTAATTCTAGTGAGTACATAACTAAGTTTCAAAAATTCCCTAACACTATATCTCTAACTCCTCCTCCCTAATTATTGAAGTTAAACTGTTTTGTCTTGGTTTAAGTGACTATATTTGTGAAAGAAGAATGTCAAACTGTCAATGATAAACACTTGTGATTTTCTTAAGCATGTGTATTCATGAAATTTAATGTCTTAGGGGAACAGATACACACTAAGAATAATTCTAAATTATCCACAACAGAATTTATCTAGAATTTACCATAGAAACAAAACCATATGGGAAAGAGTAGTCCATAGCAGAGAAATCTTCAGTTTCAGTCCTTGTCAATGCACTAGTTCTGTGGCAAATTTGTTACAGAACTAGCTCTGTTGATAAGTCACTAGACCAATCTAAATTTTTACTCCATTTGTATGTAAAATATCTACCTACTATGCAAAATTAGTGTGGAAATGAATCAAATGGCATGAAATCTAGGAAACATTCTGAACAGTGAAAAGATTTATTTAAAAGTAAGGTACTGAATGTTTTCTCTGATATAAGGAGGCTGACTAATAGTGGGGTAGGGAGGGGGAGCATGGGAGGAATAGATGAATTCTAGATGGGGCAGAGGGGTGGGAGGACAGGGAGGGGGCAGGGGATTAGCAAGGATAGTGGAATGTGATGGACATCATTATCCAAAGTACATGTATGAAGACACAAATTGGTGTCAACATAGTTTATATAAAACCAGAGATATTAAAAGTTGTGCTGTATATGTGTAATAAGAATGGTAATGCATTCTGCTCTCATTTATTTAAAAAAAATCAATAAAAAAAATAAAAGTAAGGTATGAGGGCTGGGGCTGTAGCTCAGTGGCAGAGCACTTGCCTAGCATGTGTGAGGCACTGGGCTTGATCCTCAGCATCACATAAAAAATAACAAATAAAATAAAGACATTCTGTCCATACACAACTGCAAAAAAAAAAAAAATTAAAAAATAATAAAAATAAAAATAAGGTATGAGGTTAGGGCTGTGGCTCAAGAGGTAGAGTGCTTGCCTAGCATGTGTGAGGCACTGGGTTTGATTCTCAGCACCACATATAAATAAATGAATAAAATAAAGGTCCATACATCTAAAAAAATTAAATTAAAAAAAAAGTAAGGTATAGGGCTTGGGTTATAACTCAGTGGTACAGCGCTTGGCTAGCACATGTAAGGCACTGGGTTCAATCCTCAGCATCACATAAAAAGATAAATAAGATAAAGGTACTGTTGTCCACCTACAACTTAAAAAAAAAAAAAAAAAGTAAGGTCTGAGGCTGGGGATGTAGCTGAGTGATAGAGTGCTTTGCCTTTCATGCATGAGGCCCTGGGTTCAAACCTCAGCACTGCAAATTAGTAAAGTAAGGAATTATCAGTTCTCTAATGATTCTCCAGATATTTTCTACATGATTTTGTAGATGATAGTCATGAGAATGAACATATAATAGTTATGTCATAATCTCTATGTTCTAATCTTGAACAGAAAATAAGGTTGAATTTGATTTTAAATTCAAAACAATAATTGGATTAAAATATATTAATAATGCTTACTTTCCCAGTCATTGCGAACATCAACATTCCAGAAGTAATTGCAGACTTCATGTCCTGTAACACCTTTAACTGCATGTGTAGCTTTCAAAGGATCCAGAACAATGCCGTTTTCTTCTACTTCTCTCCTGTAAACCTAAAGAAGGCATATTTAAAAAGCTATTTGAGGGCTGGGGTTGTGGCTCAATGGTATAGCGCTTGCCTGGCACATGCAAGGCTCTGGGTTTGATCCTCAGCATAAGGAGAATGGTAATGCATTCTGCTCTCATTTATTAAAAAAAAAAAAAAATCAATAAAAATAAAAATAATTTTTTAAAAGGTATTTTTTTAAAAAAAGCTATTTGAAAAACAGAAATCAAACTCCTATAGTTTGAAGGCATGCTTTTAAATTTAGCTGTTTTTTTAGATTTTATTTATGAAAATCTATTTATAGAATATATTCTGCTAAAATGAAAATTTTCAAATTAACAGACAATAAAAATATTTAAAATGACAAATCCAAGGTAACTTCAACTATGTATATGTAATGAATAATCTAATTACTATGAGTTAAAATAAATATATTAATTTAAATTAGACATTATTTACCAAACATTCTCAGAGATTATTTCATGTTGTCAAATAGGGTTAGATGAATAAAATATACTTAAGGACACTATTTTAAGGCTGCTTTATTCAATGCTATATCCCTAGGGTCTAGAATACTATCAGAAACACAGTAGAGGTGGGCACAGTGGTGCACACATATAATCCCAACTACTTTGGGAGGTTGAAGCAGGAGAATCACAAGGTTGAGGCTAGCGTGGACAATTTAGTGAGACCTTGTTTCAAAAAACAAGTAAACAACAACAACAAAAAAGGGCTGGGATTGTAACCCAGTGGTAGAGCATCTGTTCCTAGGTTCAATCCCTAGTACCACCCCATAAAACAAAAAAGAAAAAAAAAAAAAACCAGTAGAACTCATTTATCAAATCAAACAATGAAAATTAAAATGGCAAAAAGAACAGATTTATCTTGTTTTAAATACTGAGGCTGTTTACCTTAAGTGCTCAGTAAAATTAATTACAGTTTGTTACTTTAAAGAACTCTAATAATTCTTTCAAGAAATGAAGAAACATGGGGAGAACCAGCTCTAAATGTAAGGAATGCTCATGGGGCCAGAACACTGTTAGGCATTTCACATAGCTTTCCCTTTAACAATCTCTCTTGCCAAACTACCTTTCCCCAAATGCTTATTTATTCACTTTATCGAGAACACTATTTTCCCAGTTACCCAAACTGAAAACTCACTTTTAATTTCTCCCCTCACAGTTATTACGCTTTTTACTACTCTTTCAACAGCTTGACTTTTCTACTGTTGCTTAAGTATTTTAGGTGAGCTTTCATCACCTTGTGCCTCTTATTAAGTGGTCTTCTCGGTCCCTAGTTTCTTCCCTACTTGCTTCATTTTCCTAAAATGACACTTTGCAATACAGTGGCTAACCTACTGCTATTCCCCTTTGTGCGCTACTTTATGCTTTCCACAATCTACCCCCAAATTTTCTCTAATGTTATAAGCTTGTAGGGAGACTTATTCACTACTCCTCATTCCAGGTGGAGGGACTTCATCGAGACATCACTCCTAAGGCAGGAATAGTGACTTATCTGAATGGTGAGTACAGAGGGAAGAAAAAGGTAGGCTTGGTTCAAACCCCTTTTCTGCAGAGAACATGCATTCTAGTCTGATTTTGGGGCCTGATCCTTGGGGAAAGAGCTGTGATTGTCCAGCAATGTTAGGAGCATTATGTTTAATTCTGCAGTAACCTTAGGAAAACTTTGTGGTATTGATCTAAAGCCATTTTCTACAGTCGAGTTATCAGAATTATAACTAATATTCTGTTATCTCACTAGTCTGTCTCCTCAATTTCTTTTTTGAACCAGGTATTGAACCCAGAGGTGCTTAACCACTGAATCATATCTCTGGCTCTTTTTATTTTTTACTTTGTGACAGGGTCTCACTGTTGTTAAGGACCTCACAAAGTTGCTGAGGCTAGCTTTGAACTTGTGAGCCTCCTACCTCAGTCTCCCGAGTTGCTGGGATTACAAGTATGAGCCTTCTCTTACTTCTTAATTACTTCTTCATTTCCTTACCCACCATGCGGAGAGGAAGCCTCAGCATTAATATTGTATCTCACTTGCTAGAATAATTTTTGTTGCCGTAGTCTATAAAAATATTGTAAATATAAAATTTGCTTAAGTTTTTCCTCCTACAATTTTTTGTCTACAATGTCCTCTCCTTACATTTGTCACAACCTTATTTCTATTTCCAGATACAGTTCAAATGTTTCTTATTATAAAAAAAATTGAGTTCTTTCAAATTACAGAGCTTTTTTCTAATTTTCTTCAATCACATGCATTCTTTATTCAATACATTATCAGATGGAGCCAAGTAATAGTATCTTTTAAATGTCAATATCCTCTTTCTCAACTAAAATTTTAGTGTAGCAGCAGTGTGATTAATATTTGTCTTTCAGCATGAGATAGTTCCAAATTCAATGCTGTTTTTGCTTCTCAAGTCTATCTCTGTGTCTTGTTCTTCTACTTCTTGCTCTTATTCTCTCTTAGGTTTAGGGATATGAATATGATTAGTTTACCAGTGTCCCCCTTCACACACACACAAAAAAAAAAAAACAAGGGGAAAGAAAATAAATGACACTTGAACATAATATTCAGTACTTAAAATATAAGATAAACAAAAAGACATTTTATTTCTCAATATCTGGTACTTCTTTAATTTATGTAATAACATTTTAAAGTAATCATAAAATGCTATCTTTATTTATATCAATAGTAATGATAATATTGCTGAAACAGATCTATACTGAACAATGTATAACATTTCAGTGGAAATTACCTTCATTTCTCCTTCTTCTACAACCAACTGCCAATTGGCATCTCCACCTACATCTTGTAATGAATAAGTCATATGGTTCTGCACCATCTCTTCAACCTTGAAAAGAAAAATAAAGCCATGAGAATGAACATATAATAGTTATGTCATAATCTCTAAACCAGAATGGTATTCAGTTTACTGCAATTCAGAAATGGTACTCTAAAACAGCTGAGGTTAGTTTAGTGGGTTTTACATAGTGTTGAAGAGTTTAGTCCACATTCCAGATATCCAGATTAATGATAGAAGGGAGAAATGCAGGGAAGGAAGATGCTTCACTCAAGTAACCAGATTGGCCCCTAATGTGTATCTAGTGATTGAAATAAGCATTTCTTTCCTGGAAAAATGAAATATTGTACACTTCACTATCAAATACAGAGTGATGTCTTAAAAACATCAAATCATGGAATTAGGGTAAAAGAAGTATAAAGAAATCATCTAGTTCATTGTTACTATATTGAAGATAATAGAGAAATCAGATAGCTTATGTCAAAGGTTTCCCTACAAAAAAGGGGAAAACTTTATTTCACCAATATACCTATTTTTATCATAAATATAAACCAACTTAAAAATAAACAAATTTCCTTTTACGTGATCCCAATTTCACTGTTCTGAATTCTTTTAGGGACAAATTAGCTTTTAGTTTATTGTTTCAAAGTGTCTAACTAAATTTCTTTTTTCTTTTTCTTTGTGTGTGTTTGCACGCATGCACGCACATGCATGTGCTCTGGGGATTGAACCAGAGCTTCACATTTGCTAGGCAAGTGTTCTACTATTGACTGGCCTGTCCCAGTACCACTAAATTTCTTTTACTGAAATTTAAATGCAACATCAGTTTTTAATGATCACATATTACCCTTACGCATCTTAAGCAAAGAAAAGGTGAATGTATATTTCACGATCCCAGAATCCTTAATTATATTTAGAGCTAAGATTTCACAAAAGTGTTTTCTGCAGTCTCTCAGCTTGAATTTTTTTGTTTTTGTTTTTTTGGAAATGAGGGTTGAACCCATGGGCCCTTTACCACTGAGCTACATCCCCAGTGCTTTTTAAAAATTTTTATTTTGAGAACACAGTCTTGCTAAGTTGCTGAGGATTTTGCTAAATTCCTGAGGCTGACCTCAAACTTGTGATCCTCCTGTCTCCACCTTCCAAATCGCTTGGGATTACAAGTGTACATTAATGTGCCCAGCCTAAAATGCTTTTAAACAGAACTTAAGTGATAAAAAAGATTGTGACAGCAAAATAATTTTATGCAATAAATACATTAAAGGAAGAAAATGGTTAAAAATATGTACATTATACTTTTATTTAAAAATTTATTTCTAAGTTTAACTAATTTCCCATAAAGTCTATTGCATTCATTAGGGATAAAAAAATAAGAGTTAGATTTAAAATATTTTAAAATAAATAGATTGATGGTTTTGAGGCAGATAATTTAAAAATTATTAACCCCACTATATAATTTTTTGTGTACTAAAGAATGTTATCAATATATTATAGTGATGTGCACTTCTTCTACATCACGATTTCTAGATCTCAGAATGCACTTTTTTTTCTGGGTGGGGTGGGGGAGGTACCAGGGATTGAACTCAAGGGTACTTGACCACTGAGCCACAACCACAGCCCTATTTTGTATTTTGTTTAGAGACAGGGTCTCACTGAGTTGCTTAGCACCTCACTTTTGCTGAAGCTGGCTTTGAACTTGTGATCCTCCTGCCTGAATCACTGAGATAATAGGTGTGTGCCACTGCGCCTGGCTCAGAATACACTTTTTGGTACTTGAGATTGAACTCTGGGGACTTCAACCACTGAGCCACATCCCCACCCTTTTTTCTGTATTTTATTTAGACACAGGGTCTCATTGAGTTGCTTAGCACCTCACTTTTGATGAAGCTGGCTTTGAACTCCTGGTCCTCCTGCTTCAGCCTCCCAAGACTCTGGGATTATAGGTGTGAGCCATGGTGCCTGGCCAGAATGCACTTTTGATTACTATAAGTTGGTTTTCTTTTAAGTGTATCCTGATTTGGCAATCATCATACAAATCATACATACATCATTCTGACAAAAATGTTAACGTTGAGATTCTATATTCTGCTTTTGGTACTAAATATTTTATTCCTTTATTTTTAATTCTTAAGACACTGTGATGCTGGGTTTCAGATTTGAGAGAAACTTAAAAATTTAAACATACATTCTATAATTTTACAAAGCTTTATTATAAAACATAATTTCAGGTGTTACTTAGAGAAATCTGTTTCTTTAGAAGAACTCTGAATTCTGCTTTGAGAAGAGGCAAGATTCTAAGTTATATATACAATGTATCTGATTTCTAAAAGAGGAAGAATAAGAACAGTTGCTCTTAGTACCCACAGTAGTGTTGTCTTAATTCATTTGTCTGTCACATTGAGATCTGAAGAAATTTTTACCTTGTGTACATCCCAAAAATCTTAAAAAATCTTTATATTTGAACATACAGGAGAGAAACTAAAAGTTAAGAATGCCTGTGTTTATTATGAGGCAGATTAGAGGCAGAAAGAAATGCTTCCAAAGAAAAACCCTATTTAAAATGGGTAACTTGTGAGGGAAGAATATAAAGAAGAGGATTTTTTATCCTGTTAAAATAAAGAGAGTTTTGTTTAAATATCTTTTTAGTTCCATGTAACTTTTTTTTTCTGAAAACTCTGTAATTTTGGCTTTGTATGGGAAATTATTCCTGAATTAGGTATTTTACACACACACACACACACACACACACACACACTTGTAGATGGACATAATACCTTTATTTTATTTATTTTTATGTGTGCTGAGGACCAAACCCAGTGCCTCACATGTGCTAGGCAAGCATTCTACCACTGAACCCCAACCCCAGACCCTGAATTAAATATTTTAAACGTTTGTGAAACTAGATGTGTTTCATTTTTGTTTTGGCCTAAATAAACCAGAGTTCATAAATATAAATCAATAGGAGATAGCACAAGTTAAAATAATGCACAGAAAGCACATTTAACATTCTTTCTAGATAGATTAAAAGGATATTCCTATAACAATTACCACTACCATCCGTAGAAAAACAGTTTTAATTTCCTTCACTTACGAGGGCTTAAAAAAGTACAACAAAGAAACATGATATATTCATTACCACGCTCCCAGGAAATTAAACTAAAGAACTAAAATACTGTGGCAACCTCTACAAAGCTTTCTTCATAGAATTACGTTCACTTCCTTGAGGCAATAAATAAGAAGATAGGTGAAACAGGTAAAATCTTACTAAAACAGATTTTATATTCACTGCAATGAAATATGAAATAACCAAGTTGACTACAGAGGCAGTGACTTGGGCACCTGTAATCGCACTTGATCTTTCACAGATTTAATCTAATGATTTGATCAGTTTACTGTATAGTCATGACTCTGTCAAAAGGATGTGGGAAACAAGGAACCATTAAATTTAATGACAGAAATAAACACTAGCAAGCTGGGGGTGGTGGCATTCACCTATAATCCTAGCTACTCAGGAGGCTGAAGCAGTAAGATTACAAGTTCAAGACTGCAACTTGACGATACCCTGTTTCAAAATAAAAAAGGGCTGGGAGCTGGTGCATGCCTGTAAATCTCAGCAACTTGAGAGACTTGAGGCAGGAGGATTACAAATTCAGAGCCAGCCTCAGCAAATTAGCAAGGGCTTAAGCAACTTAGTGAGACCCCCTCTGAAAATAAAAATTAAAAAGGACTGGGAGGACTGGGGTTGAAGCTCAGTGATGAAGTACTTGCCTTGCATGTGTAAGGCACAGCACCACATAAAAATACATACATAAATAAAATAAAGGTGTTGTGTCCATCTACAAGTAAAAATATTTTACAAAAAGAGTGGGGGGTGCTACGGATGTATAGCTCAGTGGTAGAGCACTTGCCTAGCATGTTGCTAGGCCCTGGGTTCAATCTCCAGTTCTATAAGAAAAACAACAGAAAGTCAAATGTACCGATTTATTAGGGTCAAATTTGATATTCCAGGAACTACTGTTACCAGTATTACCTGCTAGCATTTTAAAAAACACAAAAAGATTGGATCAAACTCACTGAAGCAGATGAACAGTATTCCAAAGTTTTAATTAGGTGAAGCATAATTTTAGAAATCATGCCCTTGATTTTTAGGGACCTACAGTTGAAAATGAGCCCACATATGTAGCATCTTCATACCAATAAACTATGAAAAAAAGGATACAAAACACATTTGAGAAAAGGGGTCATTATTCAATTTTAACCTTTTCTACCATTTTGGATTCAAATTACTTAGTCTGATGCCATTTTGAAGCTACTAAACTGGATTTTTCTAACACTATTAAAACAAATCTGAAAAGAATATTGCCCTTTGATGGTACAAACAAAAGTCTAGAAGGACTCCAAAAACAGCTGAGATCTCCTTCTCTTAGCCACGTGAAAGAAATACAATTTTGCTTATTGTTACACAGTCACAAAACCATAGAGTGGCTTGTTAGAATAATTTATTAATGACAAATTAATAGTGAACAGTTAACCTGAATTAAAAATGGCCAATAGCATAAACAGTGAATTCACTGAAGAAATTCAAACAGCTAAAAATGAAAAATGTCACCTGTAGTATATCAATTGGCAAAAATTATCTAAATTATACCATTCAGTGTCAGCACAGTCAAAGAATACTGGTTTGGGAATGTAAGCTAGTTCAACTTTCCTAATTAACAGCTTGGCAATAAGAATAAAAATAACTTAGAAATGTTCACAATCTGTGTCCCAGCAATTACATTTCTAGCAATATATTCTAAGGAAATAATTGGGTAAGTGTGTGAAGATGTAAAAAGATACTGCATGTGCAAGGATGCTCACTGTATAACAAGAGAAAATAAAGAAAATAAAAACCTACATAGTCATATTAAGTGAGTAGGTTAATCTAGCATGCAACATATCAATAAATATATAGAGATATGGACCTATATTTATTGGAGGGAAAATGAATCTGAAAGCTAAAAAACGTCATAAAACAATCTAGGTATAATTATTTATTTTGATAGGAAAAAAGATAATTATTAAGATGTGTTTATTTATCACCATATGTTTTTATTTTATTTTTTGTGCTAGGGATTGATCTCAGGGCCTCCCCCACATGGTAGACAGATGCTTACCACTGAACTCCATCCACAGTCCTTTTAAAATTTTGAGACAATGTCTTACTAAGTTGCCCAGACTGGCCTTCAACTTGAGATCCTCCTACTTTAGTCTCCCAAGTAGCAGGGATCACAGGCGTGAATCACTGTGTCTGGCCCTGTCTTTTTATTTTTATATGATAAATACAAGAATATTAGAAGTAATTAATTATTCTACTTTTTATCTATATAAAATTAAGATATATTATTCATATAATAAACAAAGGGAGGGGTGAAATAATTATCCAACAATAATGTGTTGTTATTGACAAAGTGGGAAAGGGCTATTTTACATAGAGCCATTTTTTTTTTTTTTGCAATGGTCACACCACACATTAACCTGCAGATAAATTCATATCCTTTTGGTTTCTTTATTTTTCAGTAGATGATTTTTCCCTACTGATTCATGAGGAAACATCTTAAATGTTAACTGTGTTAAGCAAATAAATATAACCAAATAAATAAGTTTATAAATAAGTCCTTTCTTCCTTCTGAAGAAGTCTGTGCTTCTTTCCAGTTTGTGCTACAGTCATTATTTCAAAAAACTTGCAGTTCTTTATAATTTCAATTTCTCAGATTGAAGCAAATCCATTCCTTATATCTGCTCATAAGAAAGAGTCACATGTTGATCAAGCAAATACACTTATTTTATTTGAAGCTATTTTCAAGGCATCTTTTAGATCTATGTTTCATTATCCTACCCAATCAGGCCTATGAATATAATTTCAACAAGAACAAGATAGCCATGAGCTAATACTTATGTAGATAGCATAACCAAATTACAGAGGTCTGGAAGACTTCTGTATGGAAATTGATACCAATGATTAAAAAAACTATATGTGATATCTATATGAATATTCTGGATTTTAAAAGATGTTAGAGTAAATATGACTTCACTGAGGTATTATGTTTACTATTTGGCAATTTTGTGTGTGTGTGTGCGCGCGCGCCAGAGAATGAACCCAAAGTCGGTATATGCTAGGCAAGTATTCTAACACTTTCCAAATTACTGAAAGTGATAGCAAAGCTCTGTATACCTATAATCCCAGAGATTAGAGAGACTAGCAGGAGAATTCTAAGTCTGAAGCCAGTCTGGGCAACTGAGCAAGACTCTGTCTCCAAAAAAAAAAGGGGGGTGGGCTGGGGATGTAGCTCAGTGATGAAGTACCCCTTGATCCAATCAACAATATGGGGGTTAGGGGGTGATGACAAACTTTGAATTCATTTTTTAAAAAAATTATATATAACAACAGAATGCATTTTATAATTCTTATTATACATGTAGAGCACAATTTTTCTTATCTCTGGTTGTATACAAAGTATATTCACACCAATTCGTGTCTTCATACATGTACTTTGGATACTAATGTCCATCACATTCCACCATCATTTCTAACCCCATGCCTCCTCCCTTCCCCTCCAACCCTTCTGCCCTATCTAGAGTTCGTCTATTCCTCTCAGGCTCCCTCTCCCTATCCCACTATGAATCAGCCTCCTTATATCAAAGAAAACATTCGGCGTTTGGTTATTTGGGATGGACTAACTTCACTTAGCATTATGTTCTCTAACTCCATCTATTTACTTGCAAATGCCATGATTTTATTCTCTTTTATTGCTGAGTAATGAATTCATTTTTAAACTAATTATCAAAATATTACAAAATGAAGAATGTGGGTACCTCAATTATTTTAAGGAATGTGGAGTTAGTGTATACTATTATATATAATGCAACACAATATAACGTAACATGCTTCTAATGTTAATAAATACCTTAGAGCTTCTTAATTTTCTTAATTTAATTTGAAAACTGTAAAATGTACAAACTCAATTTAGTTGCTAGTGTGATTTCACATTGTGTTAGAAATGGAAGAATGTCCTAGATAACACTTTCTAGGTTAATGTAAACTCTAGGTCTATATCTGATGCTGTATTCTCATTCATATTTTTTTCTCTCTCACTGTGGTACTAGGGATCAAGCCCAGGGGAGCTCTAACTCTGAGTTACATTCTCAGCCCTTTTAAAAACGCTGTATTTTTGAGACAGCCTAAGTTGCTGAGGCTGGCCTCAAACTTGAGAATCTCCTGCCTTAGTCTTTGAGTCACTGGGATTATGGGTGTGTGCCAGTACACACAACTCAATGCTGTATTCTCAAGTGTGATTATACAGAATCAATTTGCTAGATCCTTTGATGATGCGAAAATGAGTGCAATCTCCCCTGAAATAAGCAATCTTATCAACTTGGAATTCTTTATATTCTAAAGGCACTGTTGAATATGAGATGCAGTCTAATCAACAGTGCAGAGCCCAAGTGTACTAATGGAAACAAATGCTTTTAACAAGAACAATAAATACTTGAAGTCATGAACATTATTTTCTTTATTTTTACTCTTTTGGCATATAAGAGTGCAAAATAATCAAATACTGAAATGAGACCTGATCAATTCTAAGCACCACATATTAGAAAAAAAATTTATGAGAAAAATTAATTTTTCTCAATTTATATACCAAGTTACATAAAAAGTTCCGGAAGAACTACACCAAAGAAGTTACAACTAGAGTAAGAGCTATTCCATGCTTGTATAATTATATCAAAATGGATTCTACTGTCATATAGAACTCTTTTTAAAGAGCCATTTTTTTTAAAAAAAGTAAGCTACAATTTGGCAAAGTCTTATTAACATATAGGCACCTGCCCCTCAGCTACATAGCATTTAAAGGCTTTCAGCTGTTCTATTGCACTACAGCTAGGGTCTGAGTTTGAGTTCTGAAGCCCAAATTCTGACTGGCTTACGTTCTTCCCTTACTTTCATTACACTTTCCTTTATTTATAATCCTATGCATTCCTACATTTCAAGGGAAAACTGTGAACAGTATTGATAGGTTTTGGTCTATGATTTTATTATTTTAATGCAAGGTGGGGTCAGCAGAATAAAACAGTCTCCTGGCATCTAGTTTTGTCATTGATTCAGTGAATATAATGAGTCATTTTTAAAAAAGGTATACATAAATGAGTAGGGAAAAAAGAAATAGTATATCTGGTTGTGGATGATATCTAATCAAGAATTGCTACATCTTTTTCTCAAAGATGTTCAAGGCAAAAAAAAAAAAGCTACAAAAGTCATAAAAATGCATTTCAAGTCTTATTTCACAGTTAAGAATGAATATAAATTTTATTTGTATGTGGAAAATAATAAAGATTTAAACTATGATTTAAAAACATTTTAAAACACTTTTATACTTATTTAAAAAATAATGTGTATACTGATTAGTTCAAAGAAATTATTATAATGACAACTTATTGAGCACTTACTATGTTCCAGAATCTAGCTAAATTACAAAAGTGAAGCACAGAAAAGTTAGGAGAATTTGCAAAAGCCCATGCATCTAACCAGGATTTAAAATGGCCATTTTAACTAGATAGCTCAGGTTCTTAACATTACAATATGCAATGCAATAAAATGCAATCACTATAAAAATATAAAATTAAATGATAAAGATCTGAAGCAGGACTGGGGATGTAACTTAATGTAGAGTGCTTGCAGAGCAGAGAGTTCAATCCCCAGGACGTACACAAAAAAACATAAATAAACAAATAAACAAACCAATGATGTCACTAAAAAAATATTCCTCTTATAGTAATTATGATTTTGAGTATAGAGACTACACACCCAGCTTCCTGTCTTAAATTCTTACGGAAATTGGTTATTCATTCATTTAGCATGACTAAATGATCAATGAACTTAAAGCCAATTTCCATAAATTTACCATATAAACAAATAATAATTCATAGTATCCACAGGTAATTTATAGAAGGAAAATATAATGTGTTCAATGGAGCTTAGCATTATAGTGGTAATGAGGCAAATATTTAAAAAGTTATTTCCTTGTTGAACATAAGGAGGAGATATTTTAAGTTACATTAAAAGTTAGACTGCTAAAATCTGCTTTGATGCCACAACATATCCTGCAGCTCATGTCCATGAAAGTTGCTGAATCCTGTCTGAAGAAACATATTACATTTAAAAAAAAAAATCAGGTAACTTCTATTTGTTTCAATTCCATTTGAAAATCTTTTTGGAGTATCTTCAATAAGATAAAAAATTCCAAGCTATTAACAGTAGAGTATATAAAGTAAAGGACACATGCAAGCCTGATGGAGAAATTATTTAGTGGATAAGGAAGGCCTTTTTAATGCTTATTGTTACTATTTAAGATTAAAAAATCAAAACAAGTGCCCTGACCAAAAGATGTCTAGGAATAGGGAAAGCAGATTGAAATACAGCACAGAAAGACTCAAGTCCACTCAATACATTCATACAGTACCTGGGCGCTGAATCTGTGAACATCGTCAGAGGCACTGACTAGATCAATGGAAGACATGGAGGAAGAGCGACTATAGGGCTACCAGAGACAGACAAAGAAAAAACCAAGTAATCAGAACAAAGGCACAACAGAGCTTTCAGTACCAACTTCCAAACACAAGATAAAGAAAGAGAAAACAAAGCACTATATGAAACAAGCACAGCAGCAAGTGCTGACTTCATGCACCTATTATGTATTATACTCTAAAATCATTCCAAAAAGAATGTAGTGCTTCCCATAATACCAAATAAGACAACTTAACCCCAAAGAAGAAAGAGATATATTAATATAATTGGTTATACTTCTGGTTAACTAATTTGGACTCCCTGTCCACCCCCTCGCTTTTTCCTCCAATAATAATAATTAATAACAACAACAACAGCAGCAACAACATTGTGTTGAGAACAAGATTTTTGATTTTATATGGAATTTAACACACACTACAAAAAAACTTACTAAATTCTTGGAAAGGCGAGAAAATCTATATTACAAGATAGTTCCATCAACAGTGAAGAATGTAAGATATACTTTAAGTAAACTCTGACATTACTTTACCTTTTGGACAAATCTATGAGTCCCCACAGAAGAAAAGGCATCTCCAGATGGTAATGATGTAGGCCAATGCAACCTGACCTTTTCACTCTGTGACTAAAAGAGCATATATTGTTAAGATATGATAGTTTTAAAGTGTACTTGCAGATTAAGAAGGATACTATAACCTGGAACCATCAACATTTAATTGGTAAACATTTTAGTATTTAAAAATATATGAATAACGAAATTTCTTCACAGACTTCAACAAGTCTTGCCCAATCCCAACACCGGCTTCAGATATCCCAATTTAGTCTCTTCTGACTGTAAAACTACATTAGACAAGGATTAGCTCTTTGATTTTGCTCCTAGTTAGCCCCATTCTTCCCCTGCATAAGATTATCTATCATGAATCAATCTTAACACTGTTGCCAATTTTCTTCTATTCAAACTGTAGCCAAATTATTTCCATTATTCTACTTCATCAGGCCCAATGGCTTATGTGTCATTAGAACCAATATCATGATTTGCTTCAGTTATATTCTTAAGAGCACATCATATGATCTCTTTGCCGTCTTTCCATGAAAGCATTCTGTCTTCATCCCATCATCTTATTCCTATTAAGCTGAGACGACCTCCTTCCTCTTCTTTGGTTTATCTAGTTTCTTCTCACTATTCAACAAATATTTGCTAAAAGTAATATACTAAAACTATACTGTGCTATTGTGTTTGTGTTCATCTTTTAACTATAAAGACAGTGATTTCTAGTCAATGCTGTCTCAACATAACATCTCATTCCCTCACTCACCAATTTATTGTATACAACTTTCCCTATGTTAACAAGTAATGTAAACTCAAAAAAGCATGATGTGTCACTTGGAAAATACTTATGCAATGGCTGTGTTGTTAAAAAAAATGCAATATACATTGAGCACAAAGAGGGAGATGATTTGAACTGATGGAATTTATTTCATAGATTTTTTAAAGCCTACTACTGAAAAGTATTACCACATTGTAATTATTTTTGTCATATTTATGTACACATGGCTAGTAGACAAGGAAAATCAGGGTCTGTTCAATGGCTGTTTTCTTAACACCTGCCAGAGTGAAAGAAGGGATAGAAGCAGATTTGATAGCCCCATGAATATTCCTTTTTCTAAAGCTTACAGAAGTTTACACTGATCCTCTACTAATATACTGTTATTGAATACAGTCACATTTTAAAGCCAGAAAGGATGCTCTGAATCATCTTTTCTAGCTCCTTATTTCACATGTTAGAAAACCTAAGTCCAGAGAATTTGTTAAAACTCATAGTTACAAAGAGTCAGTGGTGAAACTAAGACCAAGATGTCTTGACTGTATAAGTTCACTACTCTTCCCCAAATAGCATCTTCTAGGGGGTTAAAAAAAAAAAAAAGTCAAGGGAAACAAATGATGCTACTTCAGGTAAGTACGTTAGGCATTCAAAACACAATGATGCTATTTCAGGAACTACTTTAGGCATCCAAAAGTAAAGCCCACTTAGGATCTGAAAGTTCCCACTCAACTGAGTGCTGTGTAGCATTTTTGGGGGTGTAAAAAAATGAGTAGTAAGCTTTACAAAAAAATGTGATTTAAAAATATAATGAAAATAAATATAAGAAACCAATAGGTAACTTACTTCAGGTGATTTACTCTTGGCTACTAGAACAGCAAATGGGCATAATAATCATGACTGCCTTAATAATGACAGGCAATGAATAAGCCAACATTTCATTTGTAGTATTAAAACTGATATACAAATGATTATTTGCAAGACACTTTATAGTCATAGTTTATTTATGCTTGCCCAAGAAGGCAAGAGATTCTACCACAAGTAATATAGTTTAAAGATGGTGTGGAGTATGGGGAGGGGAAATAACTAAAATTGATCTTTAAATACCGTCTAGTGGTAAAATGTGGAAACTACGTTGCTACACAATTGAAGCAAGTTATCAAATTAATCTTGAAACTAAAATTAAAGGATTTAAGAATGCTTTCCTTCAATTTCCAAAGAGGGAGCTGGTTATAAATGTTAGCAATTCAATGATGATGATGATAAAACAGTAAGTAAAAGGAAGAAAAACTAATGGTGAGGGTCTTAAAGGAAATAAAGGAGTTAATAAATAAAAATTGAGAGCCAACATCGAAAAAGAACCATCTTAAAGTTTTAATTATCTTCCTCTTGAATTCTTATGGTACTTGAAGAGAAATTCAAAGAAACCTTTTGTTAACACTAAATATATGCTTGATAATCATAAAGGTCAAAGAATGATTAAAATTGGAGACTTCAAGGGGAACAGGAAGAACATTTCCATTTAAATTCATGTTAATTATGTATACTTCCTTTAAACAATTGTATAGGTCTTCTCATCTACTGCTTGGAAATTAATAGATAAAGGAACTGAGTTAAAGATTCTTCCACATTTCTGACTTAATTTTGATAGTTGATTTTTTTTAGGATATTAATATAGCTCACCATTTTCAAGTTCTATTAATATGAAATAATACACATCAAAGAATTCCTATAGTGTTTGAATTTCAGCTTAGAATTTTTAATAATAGATATACCTGTTCTTCTATTTTATCTTGTCTATCAAGAGCAGCTTCAACAGCATCAAAGAACTCTTCTTCATTAATCAGACTGTTTGGACCTTCCTATTCAAATACACAGAAGAAAAAAAAAATAACAGTTAATTTAAAGAAGTGGAAAACACTGATAATCCTGGTATTAACTTTAGAGAAAAGTTGAAAACTGACCCAATAAACATTTATTGAATACCCATTTAAGAACTAGTCATTTATACCGTGTAAGATTATCACAAAGGTAAGTAATACGCTCTGTAAAATCCTATCAATATTAAAATTAACTCACCCAACACTCATATTTACCATATACTGTTTTAAGTATTAATCTAGAGTAGAGGTTGGTGAACTATGGCCAATGGATCGAATCTAATCTGCTACCTACTTTCATATGGCCTGTTAGCTAAGAATTTCAATTTTACAAAGTTGGAAAAAAAGTAAAAGTAGTAACATTTCATAATATGTTAAAATTGAAATTCCAATACCAAAAATAAAGTTTTGTTGAAATGCAATCATGTTCATTTGTTAATGTAATTATTTTTGACTGCTTGTACTTGCAAGTGATAAGGGACATATAAAGATCCTCCTGCCAGTACTTCCCATGGACTTTAAGAAGGTTCTTCCTAGTTGAGGGCAAATGTATCAGAGAAAGAAAAGTTAAGTTGATGCTTGAAAGTCTCATTAGATGACAGAATATAGTCATCACCTGGGGGAACTTGTTACAATGAAAATTCTTAGACCCTCATGCTCAGATATTCATTTTCTGGGTCTTGGGTAGAGCCCAGGAAAATACACTTTAATGTCTCCCAAGTGATTCTGATACAAATAGAATCTCAGCTGTATTAGAAGATGAAAGTATAAAGAATAGCAGCAAAATGAAAACAAACAACGTATGTTTCTGCTATGATGAACCAAGTAAGTGGAATGTAAATAAAACAATAACTTCATATGGTAAAAGCAGAGCATGAGCAGGTAGGCTTGGGTCTAGGGTTCCCTAAAATTTAAACCAAACCACCAAAAAAGTAAAAAGGGGATACATGAAAATTGCTGGAATCTTCTCAGCTTAATAATCCTTAAGTTATAAGGCCTCTCCTTATAACTTAACCACATCAACTACCTTTAATTTCTTATTCAAATACAACACACATACAGAACAATGTACATCTCAATGAATTATCATAAAGTAAATGTTTCTCATCTAAGGACCAGCTAAGACACGAGGTCCTGAAAATAGATAGTAACGAATACTCTAGAGCCATCTTCCTGTAGGATTCACTTTATAAAGTTCAAATATTTCAAAGACACAACTGACATCAGTATAATTGTGGTCTCTGCTGATCAGAGAAAAAAACAAAACATTCAAAACCTACTCCAAATGATTTTTTTTCTAATGATTTTTTACAATTTTATTGGTCATATTTACATCTGCATTTAAATACTACTAATAATAATTCAATCTATAGGGGATTCTGGTCCTTACGTAATCACATCAGTTTATCAGTTGGGATCTGCAGCTTTTAAAAAAATCCTACTTTTGGCATGCCAACAAGGAGGGGGTGGGATTCTGATTTGCTAAATTAAATGGTTTGTCCTGTAATAAAGGCAAATTTGATGAAGAAATAGAACACAATTTTCTTTATTAAAAATGACTTTTATTTTTTTAGAGAGAGAGAGAGGGAGAGAGAGAGAGAGAGAGGGAGAGAGAGAGAATTTTAATATTTATTTTTTAATTTTCGGCAGACACAACATCTTTATTTGTATGTGGTGCTGAGGATCAAACCAAGGCTGCACGCATGGCAGGCGAGCGCGCTACCGCTTGAGCCACATCCCCAGCCCTAAAAATGACTTTTAAAAGCTCAACATTTTAACTCATCATGCTTAGTAAGGGAAGCAGCTACTTATTGGTAAAACTATAGGACATCCCTTAGTCTTTATCTTAATTGCCCTCAGAAGCCACTTCTTATGTTAAGGACTCTACCTCTATAAATTCCTAATTAAGTTCTCTAGCTTTAAATTCCTAATTTCCCCCCTCTTCTTCTCTAAGCACTTTTCTTGGGCTCCTCTGAAGGCCTTCTGTGCCTTTAAATGTTGGTGCTCCTATAGTCCCATATAGATGATGTTCCTTGACATACCATGAAGTTACACTGATAAACCCAATGTAAATTGAAAACATCATAAGTTAAAATGTATTTAATGCACCTAACTGTTCAAATATCATAGCTTATATGTAATTATATCAGTTGTTTATGCTTGTGGTTCCATGGCTGTTTGGGAGATAAAGTTCTCTGCAGCTGCCCAGATGACAAAGTATCACATACTGGTAGTCCAGAAAAGATAAAAATTCAAAACAGTATTGCATTTGCACCATCATGAAATCTAAAAATTATAAGTTGAACCATCATGAGTTGAGGACTGTCTGTATTTGCTCTCCCACAGATTCTCACTCATTTCCAAAGCTTCAGTCATCATCTTACTTGTGAATTCATAGCCAGGCAATCCTTCTTTTAAGACACAGAGCTTTATAGCTACAAGATGTCTAAAATCAGCTCTTCTCCTTCCACACCAATCTGCAGAAACCACAGCCTAATCTTGGATTCTTCCTTTTTTTCTCATTTGATCACCACACCTTTCAATTCTACTTTTCAAATATCTAATTTGCCATTGTCTTTCCATTCTTACTACTTCTACTCTAGTTCAGGCTATCTTCAATTCTTATTTATAACTAGCTTTTAGGAAAAAGTCTCTTGTTATAGTTGTCATCATCAATCCATTTTTTCTCACTGCAGAAAGCAAGAATGATTTTCCTAAACTGTGAATCTGAAAACTTCACTTAAAACCCATTGCCTCAGCATCTGCACTGATTCTTGAAAAAGTTTTATAGTCAGTCTTATCATTCCCTCTTCTCAATTTGTAGCTGTTAACACCCCCCACAGAAATACTTTCAGTTCCCTGGCAAAATGCTCTTACCTACAAATGTTTTCTTCCTTCCGAGTCTCTAAAGCAAATACTCTCTGGTGGCTATTCACCTGGTCAAAAGCCTATTTACTTGTTTCAGCTAAAGTGATATTTCCTTTGGAAAACCAGACCCAATAACTTCTTGGGTTGAGAATGCTTCATAGCATCAATTATTACAACTGAATAACTTAGCCATTCTTTCCATTATACAATCAGGCCTTCTAGTAGGATTCTTATCTTCCTTTACCCTCTCTGCCTAGCATAGTGGTCTTAAGGAATGGATATAGTTATAAAGCAATTTCTTAGGTTACAGATGACAGAAACATTTAAACTTTAATAATTAGAGCATCAAGAAAGTCTAATAACTAAAATAAAGTGTGATTTAGTGTCTAAAATCTATGCAAAACAATAAAAAATAGCTTGAAACTCCAAAAAGAAAAGGAAAGCATAAAAATAGGTCTAGTTTATTTGGTAATTATAATGTTTAATTTAGCATTAAAACTCACAGGGATTCAGTGAGAAAAAAAATTGGAGTACCCTTACCTATTTTCTTCATGAAATAAGGTATTTATTTAACAAATACCAGTGGAATAAATATAAATTGTGTTATATCACAATTTCTAAAAGTCCAGATGTATTAATATATTTTAAAGAGAATGTTTCTATTAAAATTAAATGTTTCTACTGAAATATAAATAATTATTTGAATGGAGAATGCCTTTCTAAGCATGATATCATATGTGAAGATAAGTCTATCAAAAGACAGAGATTAATTATATGAAGGATAAAACTTGCATATGGCAAAGCCAACGATAAAAAATGTTTTAAATCTACAAACATGATTTTTGGCTTTGTAATAAAACACATCAAATAACTAGGCCCCTTCTTCTCCCTCTATCCTCGTCTTTTTTCCCTAAAAAAAAAAAAAAAAAAAAAAAGCCTGTATTGAAAGAAGGAGAAATAAACAAGTATACAATTTTATTTATATACTGCTGATAGGCTATAAGAAGTACCATATATAGTTAAAGTAAAAACATGGAATTTCTTGGATTATTTTTATTTTCTATAATCTTATAATGTGAAAAAATAATTAAGAAAGTTGATAGGTCTCCCAAAATTAACCTAAAATGGTAAAACTGTCAACTTCAGAATAAAAATTGTCATCATAATGGTTTATTTTTCTAGTAATGTACACTTATAAAACTTCGGTGGAGTTATTTAATTTTTTCACATTTGATAAGAAATTGTTTGATAATAATTTAAAAATATTATAACTCAAATCTCATCTTTATAGAGTCCCACAGCTGGAAATCTATTCCAACATAAAAAAAAATATTCAACCTGCAGAGATTCTTCTATTTCCAGAGTAAAATGGCGAGAAATTTTTCTTCTCAGAGTGCTCAACCACTGAGCTACATCTCAAGCCTTTTTCATTTTTTTATTTTGTGACAGGTTTCGCTAAGTTGTGTGATGCTTGCCTAAAACTTGCAATCCTCCTGCCTGAGCTTATTGAGTTGCTAGGATTACATATGCTTGTTTTCTTAAATGTAAGCTAATCATTTATCATCTTGTTTCTACCTCAGTGATACTCCTTGCCTTCTCATTTTTTTTTTTTTTTGAGAGAGAGAGAGAGAGAGAGAATCTTTGTTTATGTCACCAATGTTTCTCACGTTTTCTCTAAAGAAATATCATAGAAAAACATCTTTAAAAGTGTGTGTGTATGTGTATATGGGGGGAGATTTCATTAATTGCTTGGCAAATAAAAGGAGAAAGAAGTTGATTTCAAATAAAAAGGTAATTAGAATAATTCATGCTCTGCAATGGATAAAGTCTCATGGTATAGTACACACTAAATCTTTTGCCTGCAAATTGCTCAGCTTTTTCATTTAGAGGCTGCTTTTATTTATTTCTTTTTAAAATGAGTAAGTGAATAACATTAAAAATGATCATACTCAAAGAAGAGATAAAAACTTGTCCTATAAAATGAAAAGGTTTAAGTACTGTGGATATAGCTCAGTTGGTAGAGGGCTTGTCTCACACGTACAAGGCCCTGGGTTTGATCCCCAGAACCACACACACACACATACACACACACACACACACACACACTAAAGTGAAAAGGTTTAATATTGAGCCATTTAAAGCCTATTTAACCCAATCTGTCCCATTGTTCCAGTTGCAGAACATCTATAAAAACTTAAATATAGTACATAAAATATAATTATAGTGACATTAAGAATATAATTATATAAGTCATTAATATATATGCTCTAAATTATGATTTACAGTCTATTTTAATGCATCTGTGTCAATTTGAAATATTCACAGAATTGAAAACTTGGGATCTAATGGGTTAAATAAATATCTAGAGAAAACTCAGCATTTATATACATTTATATGAATTCTGAGAATAAATTATATATTTATAATACTTAAGAGTTACAAAGTATTATTTAAAACTTAAGTCACTTTTGTGTTAGATATGACTTATGTGTTTCTCTTACTAAGACCAAAATATAAGTTCATACTTCATAATCTGGTCCTCCAAAGTGTGATTTTTTCTTAAGTTCTGCCATTGCATTTTTGTATGCTTCCTCTATTCTTCTTCTCTTCTCAATTTCCTACAGGAGAAAAAAAATTATTATTTTAAGTGGGCATTTTAATTATACTGAAGTCATTTAGGCTGATTTCCTCTGCATTTCAGTGAAATTTTGTAATTCAACAAAAAATAATTCCACTCCTGTGAAAAGTAAGAATATTATTCCACCAAAGAAAATACTTTACTCTGGGCTATATATTTCAAACAAGCAACAATTTAAATCACTGTTAAGATTACCTTACAGGTAGGTTATGTATTCAATAATTAACTGTCCAAGAGTCTAAAGTATGTTAAAAAAAAAAAAAGAAGAAGAAAGAAAAGAAAAATCAGCACCAATGGGAAAGGCAGCGGAGCACAACAGACACTAGTATGGCAATTTGTAAATCAATGGATGTGTAACTGATGTGAATCTGCAATCTGTGTATGGGGTGAAGGTGGGAGTTCATAACCCACTAGAATCAAAGTGTGGAATATGATATGTCAAGAAATTTGTAATGTTTTGAACAACCCACAATAAAAAATTAAAAAAAAAAAAAAAATCAGCACCAGAGAAATGCCTGTATTCCTATACTTTTTTTCAGTAAGCACTATATTTACTTTGGTATGAAGTAAAAAAAGCAAGCAAAAAATAACTCAATAAGTGGAATAATGAATGTTTAAAAAAAGAGTCCAAAAAAGAAATTTCATTTACTTTCTCATGTCCACTAAGACTATATTTGAGCTGAAAAAGACTTCAGATACCTACTTTAGTCCTTTCCCTTCATAGACAGGGTCTACAGCTCTAAAGAGTTACAAGATAGTCAACACTTAAAATAACAAGGCTGACTAAATCTCAAACTATTGCCACAACAATGGGGTACATGGGTTTAAATCTAATATAGTCCTGAAGTCCAGCAAGTCTATAAAAAAAATCAACCAACCAACCAACCAACAAACAAAAAAAGCCAGTCTTTATTCCCACACAACTACTTAATTGCTAAGTTAAAAGTCTACACAAAATTCACAAGATGTTAACAAATAAATACCATGCCTGAACTAAAGCTAGTGTAAATCAATAGTTTGTCAGACCCCAAAATTTCAGTAAATATTGTTGTGTACTCAAAAGAAAAGGAACTGATCCAAGAGAAGGTAAAATTAAAAACAGCAGCAGCAACAATAATGGCACACACACATACTCCTAAAAATACTAAACTGTTAGAAGAGCAACTAGAATTCTCATCTTACTTGTGGGAACACAAAATTAATATAACTTTTTCAGAAAATGGTTTGTCAGTATCACTAAAGCTACACAAAAGGCCCATGAACCAACAAGTCTACTCTCAAGAATATGCCCAAGAGAAATGTTTACCAAAAAATATGAGAATGCTTAGAACAGCTTTATTCATAATGGTCCCCAAATAAAAACAATTTAAATGTCAATCAACAGAAAAATGGATAAATAAACTGAAGTCATATAATGTAATACTATATAGTAATAAAAATGGATAAACCACCACTAAATATAACAATATACAGGAATCTCATAGTCAATGTTGAGGAAAAAGGAAAGCTAGACACAAGAATATACTGTATGGCTTCATTTACACAATGGTCAAGAAAAGGCAAAACTAATCTATGATGATGTAAATTAGAACTATGGTTATTTTTTTTTCCCCTACCAACTAAGCTATATCCCCAGCCCTTCAAGTAGTATACTTAAGTTTGGTATCCTTCACTGTATGTATGCTTTACCTTAATTTAAAAAAATGGAACAAATAAGAATGTACAACATAGCAATAATATTAATTAGAATTAGAAGAAAGTTTAAAAAAAAAGTAAATGAAATTATATACCTGGTGAGTCTTAATAATGTAAACAAACTATCTTCAATGAACAGATTTTATAAAATTGGGCTGGGGTTGTGGCTTAGTGGTAGAGCATGTGCCTAGCACATGTGAGACTCTGGGTTCGATCCTCAGCACCACATAAAAATAAATAAGTAAAATAAAGAAAGATATTTTGTTCAACTACAACTAAAAAATAAGTATTTTTTAAAAATTAACTAAAATTGTTTTAACTTAGAATTTCTAGTATTTTTAGACATGAGTGGTTAAAAATTTAAGTATACTCTACAGTAGAAGGGATTTTATTATAGGCAACCATAAAAATTATCTCCACCAAATAATATTAATATTTCATTAGCTAAAAGAATACTGGAACTGACATTGGAGATCTACATGAAAAGTGTAACTTAAACCATTCTACTATTAAATAGCTGTTATTATCATTACATATTTAACTGCTCTTCTTAGATTTTAAGCTCCTTAGGGACTATTTCCAGCTTATCATTGTTTCTCCATTCCTATCTTACAGCAGGTACGAAAAAGTACTTCTTGAATGAAATAATATCAATGGAACCAGTGTTATCATTGTATCTTCTTTCTGAATTCTATGAATTACCCTAAAAGACATTTATTAATAAACCACTATCTATATTCAAAAATTTTCAAATTTTCCTTATTTTGTGTGTATAGAATATAAAAAATCATTAATATGTGAATATGTTACATTCTATAAAGAAAACTAGAAATTTCTTGAATAGGGAGTTGTTTATCAACAAATAAATGCAAACTATATATGTATACATACACATAGTTGTACATATACATATATATGCACTCATATATACTGTGTATACACACACACACTCTCTTTTTCTTACATTCCTTGTAAAATATAACTGGGATCCTATTATTTTGATATTGAAAAAAAATTATATTTAATACTGCATAGACCTGTAAGAGAATGACTAAATATAGTAGTTTTCAGATTTCAATTAATACAGCCATGCTTTATGGCTCTTCTTTCCTTAAGACTGCTGCAAGGAGAAGCAGCAAAAATACCTCCCGCACCCCAAGATCCTTTGGTTTGTTCTTCATATTACTACTCAATAAAGAAAAAGAAAGGATAAGATTATCAACAATGAAGGCAATAAAAAGTCCACTTCCTTGTGTAACATGGCAAAATGAGAAACTTCAATGATGAAAACATGGAAAAGACATACTGCATAATGCAAAAGGTTTTAAGAAATTGTTTTAAATGAGTTATCTTTTGAGGCAGTGTGATTAGTATACATGACTGAAGAATATAACCCCTTAGTGAAAGATGAATAAAGAAACTTTAAGAGAAAGTTGTCAAAAGTTATAAATAAGTTAGTCTAAACAAACTGAATGATATTCTTGAACAACTGATACAATAAATTTAAGGAGTTGTCCTGTTTTCCAATGTATTATTTGTTCTGTGCAGAGGGATAATTAAATTTGATCCACATTGAGTATAGAACTGAAATCTCTGAAAATAGTCTGGCTCCAGAATGATAATGAAATATTCATACAGTAGTCCCCCCTTATCTGCAGTTTCACTTTCTGCAATTTTCAGTTATCTATGGTCAAAAGAAAGGGTGAGTACACTAGAATAAGATTTTAAAAGAGAGGTAGAAAGACCCCATAAAAACATAACTTTTATTACAGTATATTGTTACAATTGTTTTATTTTATTATTGGCTATTAACCTCTTACTGTGCCTAATTTATAAATTAACTTTATCATAGATATGAATGTGTAAGAACAAAAATAACACAGTATATATAGGGTTTGATATGATCTGTGGTTTCATGGAAACCACTAAGGGTCTTAGGACACATACCATGCACATAAGGGGGAATATGCTGCTAGTCAATTCATCTTTTCCCCCGCCCTGGGGTACTGGGGATCAAACCCCGGGCCTTTATGCAGGCTAGGCAATCTACCACTAGATACACCCCCAGCCCTAGTCAATACATCTTACTCTCACCTGTACTTGAGAATTCTGAACAGTTCTCTTCTCTTCTAAAACATGAGAACCTTCTCAAACACATAGTGCTAGTCAAATCCTGTGGCCATTCTGCCATTACATCAGATGACATTGCTTTCCTTAGTGTCTTGCTCAAATTGAAAGACCTTCAAACACTGCAAACAATAAAACTTTCTGATGAATGATAAGATTCTGATTGCTGTCTAGCCTGGTATCCACAGCTGACATATCAGAACAGAGAAAAATCTCTTTAATTCTGTTACCTAATGACTTCGGACAAGTTTCTGGGCTTATTAGTTCCTTATTTTATAAGATGATGGTTTTGGACTACAACTTAGATTTTCTAAGATATGTTACAGTTCTTTAACATTTTATTACTTCACTAAAGTTGAATTATGAACAGAAATTTCTCCTAAGCAAATCCAGTAAGCTATACTTCATGCTAAAAACTATAGTTTCATATTCTAATATTATCATCAGTGCTGCTTATTAAACAAAGGTGTGAAAATGGGAACTAGGGCAAATATTTGAACAACACAGTGTATGCTAATAATATCACAATGACCCTGTGAAAAATACACACCTATGAATGTAAAGTAAATGTTTAACTGCATATTTAGCTAGCTCATATGTTTTAGTTAGCTCATATAACTTGAATACAATTTCACATACCACACAAAAAGGTAATACTAAATGGTTCATCGCTTTTATTTCAAAGCATTACTAATACCATCATAAAACTTTTTATATTAAATCCAATGAAGAGAATATATTTTATAGTAGCTAAATATATAACAGATGAATCTTATTTAAGAAAATGAGTTTAAGATTCCCATAAACTATCAGAAGTAGTACCACCTGCTACTTCTATCAACCCAATGGACTCTTGCCAAAGAACTTAGTTTGGTTTAAATGTTCAATTGATATATAAAACTCAGATAAAATCTAATTTTTAAGAAATTAAGAACTAGTCTTACCTTATCCAGTCTCTTTTGCCAGCTGTCCTCACGTTTTACCATTAATTCAATACAATGAGAAAGTGTAGCAAGGATTCCAGCAGTGGTTGCTTTAAAAGTTATGGCTTCCCCTTTAAAGTCTATACCATTAATTCCTTTTGGTGTTACATGTGGAAATACTGAAAAAGAAAGTTATTCACTGAAAATCTTTCAAATGAAGAAATAACTCATCAGAATTTAAGATTAGAAAATATTTATAAAACTAGCAAATCTGAGGTTTTTGAATTATAGTTTTTCTCCTGTTGACCAATATTTAAAAATATCCTATCCATACTCTATGAGCAAAGGTTTATGACAACATATGCACTTTCAAGTTTTGTTTTTTTTAGATTCTACTTCCTGAAATATATTTGCTGTGCTGCACCCAGTGAATCAGGTGGTAGGAGGAGTAATATTTAAATAATAACATTCTGACAGCTTAGAAAGGGACTTAATTATGCTAAGAAGTACCTTACATTTTAAGAAATCTGGGATTTAGAAAATATCTTAAGATATACTTTACTATAAAGTAATATAACTTAAGAAAATATTCAAATTAAGTCTAGGACCAATTATATGTTAAATACCTTTTATGTTTTATAATATAATTCAGGATTAGCCTTTGAATGAAATGAAAAATCTTAAAACTCACAAGATACAAGAGATAATAATTTATTATTCTATAGCTAGTAAGAAAACATTCTGATAGAACCTTTTAAATGTCTTTAAAAACTCAGATATAGATGATAGTAAAGGTACAATCTGTAAAAGGACAAACTTCATCAAAATACAAAACTTCTGCTCTTGAAGACATTGTTTTAGAAAATGACAAGAAAAGCCACTGATTGGGAAACAAAAAAATCTCTGCATGGTATAGATTAATCAACGTCATACCCAGAATATAACAAGTAACCTCAAAATGCATTAACAAGTTGAGTAATAAACAACCAATCAAAAAAACTAGGCAAAAGATGTGAGTACACTTCACCAAAGGAGACACAGATGGCAAATAAGTACATGAAAAGATATTTAATAACATTACTAGGGAAATGCAAAATTAAAGCTACAATGAGATACCACTGCACATCTCTTAAAATGTGTGAAATTTAAAAAGACTCACCATACCAACTGTTGGTGGGGTGGTAGAAAACTGGAACTCTCATTAATGGCTGGTGAAAAACAGTTTGGCAGTTTTTTAAAAAAGTTAAACACACGTCTAACATGTGATTCAGTCATTCCACTCCTAAGTATTTACCCCAAATAAAAAAAATATATATATGGCCATGCAAAGGCTTATATATGAAAGTTCATAGCAGTTTTATTTGTAATAGTCCAAATTTTAAACAACCCGAATGTCCACCAATGGATGAGTGGATAAATAAATTGTGGTATTGTGTTATACAATGGAACACTATTTAGCAATGAAAAGAAATCAACTACTGTTACATGCAACAACAATGATGAAAGAAAGAAACTAAGCAAAAAAAGAATACATACCATATGAATCCACTTACAATAACTTCTAGAAAATGCAAACTAATCTACAATAACAGAAAATAGATCAGTGGTTGTTTGGGGTGGGGAGGGATGACAAAGTGGATGGAGGGCCAGGTGTGATGGCCCACATCTGTAATCCCAGTGGCTAGGGAGGCTGAAGTAGGAGGATCACAAGTTCAAAGCCATCCTCAGCAACTTAGTGAGACCCTGTCTCAAAATAAAAAATTAAAAAGGGTTGGGATGTGGTTCAGTGATTAAGCACCCTTGGGGTTCAATCCCTAGCAGAAAAAAAGAAAAAAAAAGAAAAAGAAAATGGATGGAGAAAATTTATAAGGGCAACAGATCATTATAACTTCTTTGTTTTCCATCACTCTTACCAAGGTTGTTGTTTTATTACAAATTATTCTTTTCTCTAATTATCAACTTAGAAATTCAAAGACATCCACGCAAGAGAATGTGTGCAACTATAAGAATGGGTTCTAACTGCTAAACATTTGCTAATTTATATAAGATGAAAAAGCATTGTGAAATGTCTTTGAAAACATCTTAAAACAGCACTTACTACTACCAAAAGCAGCCACCTCAAGTCCTTTTCAGAATGATACAGAAAGTATGTAACAGATGTTTAAAGTTTTTTAAAAAACTGAAAATAAGGGTCTTACACAATAAGACCTCTGAAATACACTTTTCTTATGTAAGGAAACATTTCTCATATTAGGAAATGAAAGTCACAAAGACAAGACATCATTTTAATTTGCCATCCAATAGGTTTCTCTAAATATAGGTGCTTTGATTTTTGCTCCAGGTTTCTTACACCTTACAATGTACAACTGTATTAATCTCAAAGGAAAAATTTAAGCAAAACCCCCAAGTACTTGAAAGTTTTTGATTAGTTTGCTTATCTGAATGTCTCCACTGAAGACAAGAGGAAAACATTCTTTAAGAGACAAGGTGATGTGCCTGAATTTCCTCTGGGAAAATGATACCAGGCAGTAAGAGAACATACACAGTTTGTAACTACGTGCATGCAGGGAAGAAATGGAAGAAATTACAAAATAACCTATTAATCTAGATTCATCAGTACTTAGGCTCCTAAGATTATCATTTGTATCTATAGTTCTTCCAGTTGAACTCTGACTTTACACATTCGTGCACTCAGAAAATCAAGGAACTCGTAAGATAACACCAACATGTCAGAACTAAAAATAAATCTGACAGAAGCTGAAAGATTTAGAATCCCTTCATTTCACTAAGACTCTTACGCTCTATTTTATTTATTTACTTTTACCATGCTATATTTTATTTTCATCTAAAAACCAATGGATAGTCAGAAATACAACATAATTAATGCCAATTAATCGAGTTGGTGGCTCTAGAAGATCTATAAAATGTAATGGTAACAATTTTATAGACTGGCTTAGACAGAATGAAGAGGAACAAATAAATGCAGGCACCATTAGTGTTCCTTGCACAGCTCAGCCAAGAAACAAGAATGGCTACATAGGACTGTTGAGAAAGAACAGCAGACACACTTCTTTGGTGTGAAATATGAAGAATTTATCAAAGAATAAATCATCTTTCAGCTCTGGCAACAACCTATTCTTTAAAGTATTATTTTGGAGAAAATAGAAAGTAACAATAAAGGATTTTATATTTCATGGTAACAGGGTAAACATAAACATGATTTTCATTAACCTTTTTCTAAATTTGGTTATATAGCCAAAGTATCTGTATATATTTTAAGCAAAAGACTATCCATTTTCATTGCGATTAATAAAAATAGTAAACCCAGGTTTAATGGACATGAAGATATGAAATAAAATAATCTTTTAAGTAGGTTAAGGTAATACTGAAAAAGTTTTTAACAGTTGGTAGGATTAGAATGTCTGCCAGCCCTGGAGAAAACAGGGTGCCAGGAATCATGCCTCTGGCTCATGCACTCTTGCACATCATCGCAGACAACCTGCAGGGGGATTTCCCAGTTGTTTAAGAATTTTTTTCAATTTCCTCCCAAAGAAATTTCCAAATAATCATGTATGGTGCAGAGTAGAAAGGGATTACTGGAGAAATCCTTCTTAACATAGAGGATTGCAGCCAGATGCAATCATGCCTGTAATTCCAACAACTTGGGAGGTTGAGCAGGAGAAGCACAAGTCTGAGGCCAGCCTCAGCAAGACCATCTGAAAATAAAAAATAAAAAGGGCTGGGAATGTAACTCAGTGGTAGAGTACCCTGGTTTCTCAGGTACCCTGGGGTGGAAAAAAAGAGGAACATACAGAATGGTAACTTTGTTAAAACCTCTCTTCATCTGTCTACTAGGACAAAGAGGAAACATGACTGAAGACTATAGACTTGATATTAACCATACTGGGTTAGATAATCAATTGGTTTGGGACTACGACCAAAAAACCTGATGAGAACAATTAGAGGAGGAAAAGATTATTTTGGGGCTCACATTTTCAGGGGTCTCAATCCCCAAACAGCTGGCTCCATTGCTCTGGGACCAAGGTGAAACAGAACATCAGGGTGGAAGAATGTGGTAGAAGAAAGTGGCTCAGGACATGGCACTAGGAAGGTAGGTGGGGGGGTGGGGGGTGAGGGGTGGGGGGGGGAGAGAGAGAGAACTCCTCTCACCAAGGACTAAATATATAACCCAAAGGCATACCACCAGGGACCCACCTCCTCCAGCCACATCATACCTGCCTAACAGTTGCCATCCAGTTAATTCCTATCAGGAGATTAACACAATTATTAGGTTAAAACTCTCACAACCCAGTCATTGGACTCCTAAACTTTTTTTCATTGTCTCACACATGAGCTTTTGGGGGTACCTCATATCTAAACCATAATAAACTGGTTAAAAACTTAAAATTAATTGACAATTAATGTACAAGCATGTGCACAAAGAATAGGTATGAGCAATGTATGTTAATATTAACACTAAATTTTTTTCTCAGTGAGATTTATCAAAAGCATGTTTCAGTTTGCTAAATCAATATATCTCCATTTTATATAGATAGTCTGACAAAATGCTCTGATAAAATACTTTGTAAATAATTTCCAAATAATTATTTGTATTATGTAAGAAGAGATTTAAGTTGGAAAATTAGACAGAAAATATAGCTAGAAATAGAATTAAATGTTACAACTTAAAAATAAAATACATATAAAAATCCTATACAGGTAGCCATCTTCAACATTTAATGAAATTTAATCAAAAGAAATGAGAGTTTAGGAATATTGGGTGATATTATTCATGGTAGGTACAAAAAGTCACTATATAACTTTAGATTGATTTAATCTAAATTTAGAGTCCAAAAGTTCTGAGTTTTAATAAATTTTAGTCTTTTAAATATAGCCTATTGAGATATAATTCCAATATCATAAAATTCATTCATACACTACATCCAATCCAATGTTGTTTTAGTATATACAGAGTTGTACAACCATTATAATCAATTTTAGGACATTTTCATCAAAACCCCCTTTTAAGCAACTTGGGATCAAATAGTTTTACCCTCCCACCAGAGTCACTCCCCATTTCCCCCAAGTCCCATGTCCCCTGCCCTAGGCAACCACTAGTCTACCGTCTACCTCTATAATTTGCATCTTTTGGACATTTCATGTAGACAAACATAAAATTAGTCTTTTGTAACTGAGTTCTACTTAGCAAGTTTTCAAGGCTAAGCCATATTTATATAGCATGTATCCAGGACTTTATTCCTTTAAATGGCTGAATAATATTCCATTGTGTGGATATATCACATTTTTGTTAACCTACTCATCAGTGGATGGACATTCAGGTTATTTCCATTTTGGGCTATTGTGAATAATGCTGCTATGAACATTAATGTACAAGTTTTTATATGGATGTGTTTTAATTTTTCCTGTATATAGATCCAACAGTGAAACTGTTATGTCAAATGATATCTTCAATGTTTAATCTTTTGAAGAACTGCCAGAATGTTTCCAAAACAGGTGCACCATTTTACATTCCTTCGAGCAGTGTATGAGGGTTTCAATTTCTCCACATCCTTACCAACACTGTTATTTCTTTTTTTAAAAAATTCTTTTTAGTTATATATATATAATATCAGGATTCATTTTGACATAATTATAAAAACATGAAATATAATTTGCTAATTCAGACCCTGCTACTACTTTATTTCTTTCTGATTAAAGCCACTGTAGACGTGAAACGGCATCCCATTTGCATTTTCCTTAATGATGTTTAGGATCTTTTAAAAAATGTACTTATGTATGACTACTTGAATATCTTCTTTGGAGAGATGTCTTCAGGTACTCTGTCCATTTTCAAACTGAGATATCTATTACAACTTTGTAAGAGTTCATTATATTTTAGAAATAAATTATTTGTCAGATATATGATTTGCAAATATTTTTCCTATTTTGTGAGTTATCTTTTCATTTTTTAAAAAGTATCCTTTGAACCTCAAAATTTTTAATATTGGTAAAGGTCAATTGATCTATTTTTACTTTTGTTACTTTGGTGCATATCTAGGAAGACTCTGCCTCACCCATAGAAGATTTCTTCTGAGAGTTTTTCTTTGATCCATTTTAAATTAGGTTTTTTTTTTTTGTATTTGTATGATAAGGAATTCAATTTCATTCTTTTATATAAGGATATTTAGCTTCCCCACATCATCTGTTGGAAAGATTAGTTTTCCTAATTGATATGACTTGTCACGTTATAGAAAATCAATTGACTGTACAGTGAGGATTTATTTTCTGGACCCTCAATTCTATTCAGTTGATCTATGTGTCTGTCTGTCATTCTTCCAGTAATACACGTTGTCTTAATTACTGTTTCTTTGTAATAAGAAATTTGGAAGTGTAAATCCCACCAAATTTTACCTATAGCTATCACCAATGCATTAATGTATATGATTAATTCATACATCCTAATCTTGCCCCAAAGACAGTTAAGTAAAAATGATTTTTAAGTGATACTGGCATATTTTTTTTCTAAAAAAATAATGGTCACACCCCATTTTTTGTCAAAAATTTTGGCATAAAATCTGTAATGATTATACAGTGAATGCGGTATTTTGTTCTTTTTTTAAGATTGTTTTGATGAATCTGAGTCCTTGGCATTTCCACATGAATTTTAGGATTGGCTTGTTAATTTCTTCAGAAAGCTTACTGCAGAGTTTTAATAAGAACTGCATTAAATCTGTAGATCAATTTAGGAAGTAGTGAATTCTTAACAATATAAGTATTTTGACCTCTGAACATGGGATGCCTTTCCATTTATTTAGGTCTTCTTTAATAATGTACTATAGTTTTCAGAACAGAAGGTGTGTACTTTTGTAAATTTATGCCTAAGTGTTTTATTATTTTTGATGTTATTATAAATGAGTGTTTATATAATTTCATTTCAATTATTCATTTTAAGTATATAAAGTACAATTTATGTTTTACATATTCATCTTACAACCTTTAACTTGCTGAAATCATTCATACTTTTAATAGTCATCAGTGGATTCCTTACACTTTATACAAGATCATGGCATCTGTACAGATGGTTTCAAATCTGAATGCCCTTTGTTTTCTTATTAAAGACATTAAGGATGGTTTTCTTTTGCTTCCTGCATTGTCTAAATTCCTTTTTCTTTTTGATAGTAGTGACTGAACTCAGGAGTGCTTTACCACTCATATACATCCCCAGTCCTTTTTTATTTTGAGACAGGATCTCACTAAGTTGCTGAGGGTCTCCCTAAATTACTGAAACTGGCCTTGAACTTATGATCCTTCTGTCTCAGCCTCCTGAGTCACTTGGATTACAGCTATGTGCCACAATGCCAGGCTCTGTTTTTCTAATTTGTTGTTTTGGTCACCATCTATCATGTGGGAGTCTTTCTTCAAATATCTAAAGATCTTGTTCACATTTAAGAGTTATGTATTAGAAGTTTTGTATGCATTAGAAGGGCTTCTGACTAGCGGCTTTCATGAAGGGATTTTGGTAGTTGAGATACCTTTGTCATGGTGTAATTCCCCAAATCTCTATTTACAGATTTTTTCTGTGGCCATTCTGTTTTGCCAGTTACCTTCTAATTTTCTGTCATACACCACAATTCTTGGAGATGAGAAGAATGAGGCAGTAAAATATCAATAATCAGTATGTATGTACATTTTTAGTTAATAACTTTATTGATATAATATTTTTTAGTTGGGTCTAGTATTCCTAAATCTAGAACTCTCTAGTTCAATTTCTAAAGAAGATAAGCTTCTGTTCTGTTTTGGGAATGAAGGTGGGACAGCTGAGTTTATGTGGGATGAATGATCAGGCCTGCAAGTTTTAAAACTTTTTTCAAAAGTATTTCCTAAATCCAAACAAAGTACTTGTTCTATTAAAGCATATTATTATTCATTGTGAAATTAAAATGTACCTGCAAGAACCATCCCCAAACAGTCCTCTAATTCCATAAAGATACATTAATCTAGATGACTTGGTAAGTTTTAACATTTTAGCCCAAAGTTATAAGGGCAATTTACACAATAAACTTTAAGCTAGCACTTTGCAAGAGTAGAAAGGGAGTAGGTTATAAGGAGAGAATCACAATGAAAATAAGAAACATGGAGAGAAAAAAAGAAGGAAAAGGTAGGGGAAAAGGAACATTAGATTTTAGTATCTATAATAGAATATTCTAATATGATCTCAAAAGTAGAAAATTATTTCCATCATGAAACAGTTTTAAAAGTTTAAAAGTGTACTCTCACTACAGATTTTACTCCACTTAAAAAATAATTTCAGCAAAATTAGATATTTTTTATGCAAAAGTCTTTTTTTTTTTATATCTTAAAGATTTTCAGAAATCCATTTTAGTCTTTTCCTAGGAATGTCAAAAGAAGAGCATTGGCTATAATTCACAGTAATCAACGATTCAGAATTCCTCCAACTGACTTATTCATTAAAAACACAGCAACAATCAATAAACCACCTTACTCCTAGGTATATAAGCAGTTATACTTGTGAAAATGAAGCTACTTCAATAATTTCCCTTATAATAATAGTTATTACTTTTTTGACACCACTTTATCAAACAGAGAACTACACTCTAAAGAGAATATACACTCTAGAGAAAGGTTGAAGTTAAGGTTCCATAACAATAATCTCTAAGAAAAACTTCTTCAGTACTAAAAATTGATTGTGTCAGTACTAATGAAGTAAATGGGCTAAAGGAAATCTGAATTTAGAATAAGCTTTTGTTAGACAGTGAGTTGCCATTATTATACAACACCAAAGTGGCTATTTTATCTACATGATTTTTCTTGGATATTTTAACTTGGATTCCAAGAGTTCCACTGCTTTTTAAAAATTATTCAACTAGGAATTAGTCTTTGTTGTACAGTGAATTATTACATACCTTTAGAAAGTACATATTATTCAGCTGTGGGAATACGTATTACTTACATTTTTCCTTATTGCCATTGGTACTGTGCAAGAATTCTCCATCGGAACGTGTTGTAGGGAAGTCATCTTCATCATCTTCTACCACTAAATAAAATACATTTAAGGATATGAGAATTTTAAAAAAGAAATCAATTACATTATTCTTATGTTCAGCTGAGTCAATTATACTCTAGATTCTGTGAGTATAAGATTTTATTCATCTTTTATAATTTCACTGTTCATAAAGGCATACTCAATAAATATGCTATGGAATGCCATTAAATACATTATTTTGAAACTGTACCCATTCTCACTGTTTAAGGGATGATTGATAATTTCGTCTTATTGATCTCCTCCTATAAAATGGGGCCATTTTATAATTCTTCAAAAGACCTACAAGCACTGAGGACTGTAAAAGGATATCTTACATGCAGAAGGTACCTTAGTCTTAAATCTCCTACTTTTTTTGTATATGCAAGCAAAATAAAACTACTTCAAGATGTGATATCAACTTTCATTTATCCCAATGTGTATGTGTACCTAAATATCCCTTTTAACTTACCCAATTACAGAAAAAGAAATAATTTTAGAAAATATTCAGATTGAGTATATAAGGTGTGTATGGAACATAAATGGATTTTGAGTTTAGACTGGGTCCTATCCCAAAGGTATCTCATTATGTATATGCAAATAGTTCAAAATCCAAAACCCCAAATACTTCTGATCCTAAGTAGTTTGGATAAGCAATAGCAATCTGTATTATTTTTTGAGGTACTCTCTACCAAAGCAATTTCATTCTAAACCAATGTCTTACATACTTGCCTGTGTTTTCTTTATCTAGGAGTACTTTGATTCTATAAGGAGTAGCCCTCTCTTTACCTCTCTCTCCTATGAATATGAAGCCCAATTTTATACCTTATTCTCTCCTCCCTTGAATGAACAGTAGGAATCACCACCTAAAACACCTTCATTCTGTACTGTTATTTTCTAATTACTGGACTATTTTGTTTTTCATTAGAAAATCTGCTATTCAGTTAAAATAAAAATTTTAAATCATAACCTATTATTTATCTTGTATTCATTCTACCCAGTGGATGACATCAATAGCCAATGGACATTTTTCTTTTCCAGTTTTATCATTCTTTTTTAGAAATGGGTCTCCACTAGACCCACTTTTTTTTTTTTTTTGGTACTAGGGATTGAACACAGGGGTGTTTTACCACTAAGCTACATACATCCCAACACAAGTTCTCACTAAGTGGCTCAGAACCTTGCTAAATTGCAGAGGCTGGCCTCAAACTTGCATTCCTCCTGCCTCAGCCTCAGCCTCAGTCTCGTGAGTTATTGAGATTACAGTGTCTGGCCTATTTGCACCATTCTTACAGGCTTTGTTACCCATCATGATGCTTCTGCAGATACCTTAGTCCCAATATAAACCATTTTCCCAGAGTCTGTTTTTTGTTTGTTTTTGGGCTTCATGGTTGTACATAGTAGTTGAGTTTAACCCAACAAACTCATACCCTGTGGGTCTTCAATTATTTGTAAGTATAGTCAATTCTAAGAAATCCATTAATATAGCACACTGCTATTTTAAAATCAGTACTCACAGCTGGGTGTGGTAGCACATGCTGAAATCCAGTGACTGGGGAGGCTGACGCAGGAAGATCACAAGTTTGAGGCTAGAATGGGCAACTTACTGACACCTTATCTCAAAACAAAAAATCAAAAAGACTGGGAATTTAGATCAATGGTAGAGTATCTTAGGGCCAATCCTGTGGCCCCTCAATAAAAAAAAAACAAAAAAAAACCTCAACACTTCTCTTTGGACAAGATCTTGATATTGATTCAATACTATCCTAATTAACTGTTTTTTAAGTGCTATTAAGATGCCTCAAAGATGGACAAGGAGTGCTTTGTTGGGAAGCAAAGAGGGAAGGCCACCCTTTTCACCAGATTTAACTCTTGTTCTCATCAGTTTTATATATTGAACATTGGGCTAAAAAAAAAAAAGTTGAAAATCCCTGTTTGTTGTTATTTGGCTATTAGGTTAAGACTATTTAATCCAAGAACTGTTGGGATTTAATCTAAAAATTAATTTTCTTATTGCTCTTCTTTTCATTGTTAATGTAATTATTTGAAGTAAATTACTTAACATTTCTCAACTTCTGTTTCTCTGATTATAAAATGGATCTTATACCCAGCACATAGGATTGTGAGAAGTAAATGTGAATATGTTAGCACTATAATAGCAAAAACTTAAAAAATAAAACATGGTCAATTCAGATTTTTGCAGAGGTAAGGGAAAGCAGGAAGTGCAAGATCCAAAGATAAGATTTAGTATAATAGATTTGATCTTGGTAAAAAAGACCATTCTGATCAGAATGGAGGATACGTATTAAGTGATTTCAAATCATGTCACCTGTCCCTAAGACTAGTCCAATATGACTGGTGTCTTAACAAGAAGAGAAAATATGGACACACAAAAATACACACAGAGAGATGTGAAAACACAAGTAGAATAGCCATCTATAAGCCAAAGAGACAGGCCTAGAACAGATCTCTGCCTTATCACACCTGGAAGAAATCAATGCAGCCATCATCTCAATTTCAGAACAGTGAAAAAATAAATCTGTGTTTAAGCCATCTAATCTCTGGTACTTATTGTTATAGTAGCCTTAGCAAACTAAAACATTAGTTTATGCTATTGACAGTTTCAAATATGTAGTAGAAAGGATTCGGAGTACAGCTTAAAAATTATTTTCCAAATCTCCCATGCATCCCAACTTTTACTTTTTCCATCACCACTTTTTATCCCTTCAATATTATAACACTGTTAGTGTGGATAATTTATATATAAACAAAAACCTCAATTCTGTATGCATTCTGTTTTGTTTAAAGGACTACTTATCTGCAAACAAAAAAAAGTTTTAATTTGATAAAAAGGTATACTTATTATTTTTTTTAAAAAATAAGTATACCCTTTTTATCAAATTAAAAAAAAAAAAAAAGAACAGAAGAATTTTGGAGGGGAAAAACCCCCAAAACTTAATATACATCAAATATAAAGAACTTCAAGGTACTTAATTTAGGCAAAATTAAGTACTTTAAGAGGAATATGGATTTCTGCTTCTGGGCAAGATGAAGTAAAAAGGGACAGAATTTATTCAAGCACAAAACTAAAAAACTGAATAATATATGTAAAACAATGGTTTCTTTTCTTTTTTTTGGTAGTACTGGCGACCAAACCTGGGGTTGCTCTACCACTGAGCTACACTGCCAGTCCTTTTATTTTTATTTGTTCTAATTACTTATACATCCCAGTCCTTTTTATTTTTTTTTATTTTAAGATAGGATATCACTAAGTTGCCAAGTCTGATCTTTAAACTTGCAACGCCTCCTGTCTCAGCCTCCTGAATTGCTGGGATTACAGGTGTGCAACACCACACCTGGTCAAACAATGGTTTTTAAGACATTGGATATTAGGCAATAAATGACAGTGATCCCTAAGAGAAGGGAAACAAAAGATGTGAGCTCTATGATTGCTCCAGCTCATTGACCTGGGAGTTTCTAGGCTACAGAATAAGAATAGGGAACCCAAGGAAGAGGCCAGTAGACTCCTGAGATGAGGAGATGGAGATGAAAGTCCAAACAAACAAAGGTAACTAGAGCTTCTCAAGGAGAGTACTGTAGAGGAGAAAGATACAGAGAAAGAACATTAAACATCAGGAGGTTTCCTTTGAGTACTTGGCAGAATACTGAGAGCACATGCAAATTAAAGAACCACAAAGGCTAGAACCTTCAAAAAGGATTCCAGGGAACAGTATTCAAAACTAATGTGGTGGTAGAGAAAAGTACCTGTTCCTGCAAGGCAGACTGGGAAACCTCCTAATTCAAAGGAAACTGGTTGGAAAACTCAGAAAAGTCTTCCTTAGTAATGAAGAGAAACAAAAATATATTACTGAAAAGTTGTGATGCTACACATAAAGTACTTAAAGGTAGACTATATACAATATATAATTAATATACAAACTGCAAACCCTAGCCACTAAACTAACAAAATTATAGCTAAGAGGCTAACAAAGGAGATTAATGTCATTATAAAAAAAAAAATTAAAAGGGGGAAAAAGGGAACTAAAAATACAAAAAGAATTTGAATTCAGAGTGTATATATATACTTTTAGTAAGACCAAGAAATAAAACTGCCAAATGACCTAGTCATAATAGCAATAAACTTAATACTAGTTAGTATTACAATGAAAAGTAGTTTATTTTTGTTTCCACAGTAAATCAAGAGAAAAATTGAAGGACATGTCCACTGACATTAGCAATATCTTCAGGACTACCAAAGGAAAAGTAACTTTAAATCTCAAATTAAAAGTTAAATGATGAGAACTGGGGTTGTAGCTCAGTGGTAGAGCACTTGCCTAGCATGTGTAAGGCACTGGGTTTGATCTTTAGCACCACATAAAAATAAATAAATAAAACAAAGGTATTGTGTCCATCTACAACAACAACAAAAGGTAAAAAAAGTTAACGGATGACCCACCCTATTTTATTTTTTTTCCAAACAAAACTTCACTAAAACTATTTTTAAATGTATATATAATGAAGAAGGTTTCTTCTATGAGAAAAAAGGGCAGATGAAGAGACATGAAAGGAGAGCGAAGGAAGAACGAGAGAGAGGAGCATAGAAAGAGAAAGGAATCAATTGATTCTAGATCTAAAGAATTTAATGTATGCTTGTATCCTCTAAGATTCATCAAGGGGTAAATTTATTAGACATAATAATGTAAATGCTCCGTATTATAAGAGACCAGATACTATTTTTTAATTGAATAAAGAGAATCACTTAAAAGTGTTCCAGAGTATCTGGTATGGATGACCAGAAATGTATTGGAACATGTTATTAGAGTACTCAAGTTACATTAATGCTGAGATCAGTTACAATGGGAGTTTGCAGCAAAAGTGACTATAATCACTTTTATTACTTAAAGACATTACCGGTTAAGATCAAGAGGCTTTAAATCCATTCATTCTCCAAGTAAAAATAGTGGTAATAGCCTAATTAACCTTTATCCCTTTGAAGTTCGTCCTTGGAGACAGCATCAGCACAGGCATCAAAGTACTTCTGGAGAGTATCAACTTGTCTACATAGGATATCTCTAAAGGTTTCCATTTCAGCCAATTTCTCCCGTAAACTGTGGCCTTTCTGCAAGACACAAGAAGGGAGGCAGTGTAATTCAAGTGAAACAAAACTGGACTGACTTTATTTGGTCTATGGTACTTCATCACCATTTAAAGTCTGTACCTTATCACTAAAGGAATGGATAAAGAATGCTACCAAGTTCAAGGTCATACTTCTAGGAATAGGCTTGAAGCTGATTAATCTAGTGACTTGATAATGATAAAACTGTAGGAAATAAGGTAATAATGTGTGACAACTTGCTAACAATTCGTTTTTTTTTTTTTTTTGGTACGGGGGATTGAAGGCAGGGACATTCTACCACTGAGCCACATGCCTAGCCCTTTTGATTTTTTATTTTGTGATGTTGCTAAGGTGCAGAGGCTGGTCTTGACCTTGTGATTCTCCTGCTTTGACCTCTTGAGTTGCTGGGATCACAAGTGTGCACCACCATGCTCAGCTGTAATATAACATTTTAATATTTTCAAATTAGACATTGTGAGGAGAAACTGACAGACTTGGAAATGGTAAAAAATATTCCTGGATGTACTTGCACAGTATTTGTAAGAGTCATTTAGGAAACCCTGATGGGAGGGTGACATCTGATCATGTGAAAGTTTTTGCCCTTCACTGCATTTGAGCTATTTTACAATTCTTTTAATAAAACAACTGAGTAATGTATGTGATTCCACAAAGATGCAAAGGAACTCTGTCCTGCACAGAGGTGATGATTTCATCTGTGTATATTGATCAGTTTTGCACTAGCAAATTCATTTCAGTATTCTTTAGATTCTCCTTTGAAACAATTTTAAAATTAATGTCTTAGCTCATTAACACATTAAATAAAAACTTATATATGTTCATTTTGAGTCATGATTTTACTCCTTAAAATTATTCTATAAAAATTCAAATTACATTGTAGAAAAATTCTTTAAAAAAACTTATCAATTAAATTCAGCTCACAACATCCAATACTAAAGTAAAGTTATGTTGCCTCAACTTAAAACATTCATAAACTCAAACCTTGAATGAAGAGGTGGATGTTGCAGAATAGCCACTTGCTCCAGACACCAGAGATACCATTGAGCCATGTCGACGCAAGCTCGATTCAGATCCATATCCTGATTCAGTCTAAAAAGGAAATGAAGTACATGAAAAGATTTTAAATAAAAAATTAAGAGAAGACAAAGAAATCAACAAGGTTATTATAACAACAGTGAGCAGTTTAGATTCATACAATAGTCCACTGATGTTAAGAAATTCCTTTTAATACCTAACTATCATTTAATTTAGAAATTTATTGAATAAATACCACATGTTGGGCTAGGAGGCTAAAAGAGTGTTTAAAATATGAAATAAAGCAGTGTTTAATAATAGTCTCTTTCCTACTAGTAACTATGAAAAAAGTCAATTTCACAGATTTCAAGTAAAAAAGTGGTTACCAGAGACTGAGAGAGGAATTGCGTCAGTATTCGATAGGCATAGTTTCAGCTGGGGAAGATGAAAATGTTCTGGAGATGCAAGGTAGTGATGGCTGAACAATCATGTTAATGTACTTAATGCCACAGACTGTATAGTTAAAATGGATTAAGTAGTCATTTTACATTATGTATATTTTATTGTAATTTGAAAAAATGAATAGGACAAGACAAAAAAGATAATAGGAAAACTTCAAACCCTATTTCTTTATAGATAAGGCAGTTATCCTGACAGCTCAACTATCACTGCCTACTTTTCCTATTATACCAGCAGTTTGTCTCTTTATTTTCAACCATTCTTTCTTTTCTTCTTCTTCTTCTTCTTCTTTTTTTTTTTTTTTGTACTAAAGATTGAACCCAGAGGAGCTCTACCATTAAGCTTCATCTCCAGTCCTTTTAATTTTGAGACAGGTCTTGTTAAGTTGCCCAGCTGGCCTCAAACTTGCAATCCTGCCTCAGCTTCCTGAGTTTCTGGGATTACAGGGTTGTGGCACCCTGCTCAGCTATTTTCAATCATTCTTAACACATTACAGTTAACGGATTTACCAATAAATTATAATTATATTTTATAATTACTACTTGACTTAGATCTTTCTGGAAGCAGACTGCATCTTTTTCATTTTTGTAGCCACCTTCATAGTTCATGGCACAAAGAAAAGTTCAATTTTGTGAGTCTATTAAGCCTTCACACCATGGAACCAACTGGGACTTTCAGGTGAGTAGGTATAGATTTAGTGCTGTGATAATACATTTCATTTTAAAGGAACTGGTATTTTTCAGTTCATCAATTTGATATTTTACTTTTCTTAATACAAATGCAGTACTAATTAAGATAAAGGAATTAAATGTTTGAAAAAAATGGCTTTCTTGAACCTGAAATCAAGTATTCTGGATCTTTGATGCTTTCTAGTTACTGTTAAAAAGTAGAGTGAATCAAATGCTTCTGTGGAGCTGGCATGATGGCACAACCCTATAATCCCAGTGACTCAGGAAGCTGAGGCAGGAGGATTGCAAGTTGGAGGTCAGTCTGGATAACTTAGCAAAACCCCATCTCAAAAAGAAAAAGAAGAAGAAAAAGGGTGGTAGCTCAGTGGTAGAACGCTGCTGGCTTCAATCCCCAGTACACAAAAGAAAAAAATGCTCCTGTGGAAAAATCAAGGTATTTGTATTACATCATTTAACAGAATATCATGTTTGTTAATTTAAATAGGGCCAGGTGTGGTGGCACATATATGTAATCCCAGTGGCTCAGGAGGCTGAGGCAGGAGTTCAAAGCCTGCCTCAGCAATGATGAGGCTCTGAGCAACTCAGTGAGACCCTATTTCTAAATAAAATACAAAATAGGGCTGGGGATATGGCTCAGTAGTCGAATGCCCCTGAGTTCAATCCCTGGTGGTACCCCCCCCCCCAAAAAAAAAGATTTTAAGTAGGCATTTATATTTAACAAGTTTTCCTTCATTTGAACGGGAAAAAAATCCCTATGTTTCTCAAACATTCAAAATTTTTAATAATAGAGATCAGTACAGAAAAATGAAGGAAGAAAAAGACTACATTGTATAAAATTTTAGTCATAGTCACTAAAGTTAAGAGGTAAAATAACATCTAATTACTTTTGGTACCAAACTTACAGCAATAATTAGAAACTGGTATTTTGGTACCAGGAATTGAACTCAGGGGCACTTGACTGCTGAGCCACATCCCTGGCCCTTTTTTGTATTTTATTTAGAGACAGGATCTCATTGAGTTTTTAGCACCTCACTTTTGCTAAGGTTGGCTTTGAAATCATGATCCTCCTGCCTCAGCCTCCCAAGCCACTGGGATTACTGGTGCACGCCACCATGCCCGGCTAGAAACTGTTTTAAGCTTACTTCATTCTCAAAATTAAGATTATAAAACATTAAAATTATATACAATGTGTTTTCTGTGGAAAACATATAAAGCACAGGATATCAGAGAAAAATTATAGATAAGATAAATGCCCCAAACTTCCCTACCAGGCTATTATGAGATAAATAAAATGTCCCAGAGTTCTTTTTTTTTGTGTGTGTGGGGGTTATACCAAAGATTTAAACAGGTATATTTTACCACTGAACTACATCCTTAGCCTTTTTGCTTTTTATTTTGAGACAGGGTCCCACTAAGTTGCTTAGGGCTTTGCTAAACTGCTGAGGCTGGTCTTGAACTTGTAATCCTTCTATCTCAGACTCCTGAGATGCTGGAATTATAGACATGTGCCACCATACCCAACACAGAGTTCTTTAAATAGTCTGCCTTTTTCTGTTACTTCAGAACCCTAGTAGCCATGGTCATCATAAAGTTTGGTTCCTGCCACCATTAAGTGCCTCAAAGTTATTAAGAACTAGAATCATATACTTCATAAGTTCATTTAAATGTAAGAAAGAAAATGAAAAAGAAAAGCAAAGACCAATGGGAAAAGAACAGAGATTAGAAGTAGTAGCAACAATGGCAAGAAACTGAAAAGAGGAATGAGACCCTGAAGATACAATAGTGACACAGTCTCAAAGCTTGAGTAAAGTTGCTGCTACCCGCTAGCATCAATAAGAAGGCTCTGATGAAGAAGAAAAAGAACAGGGAGGGGAAGAAAAAGAGAAAAAAGCAGAGGATGTGCAAAGGAAGAGGAGGCATTCATAATGAAAAGAGCAATACAGCTCATGAAAAAGAAATGGCTATCATTAGGCAAAGACACTAGAAATTTATCCCTATGAAAATGAACAGCCTCTTAAAATTCAACTTTTAGCACACACCAGGCACCAAAGTAGAACTGTGACACTTTGATGATGCTTGTTTATAACCAATTCTATCTACAAAAGGTATCTCTAATTATGTAAGATTAGATGGAATCAAACCTCTTCAAGATTTACATCATTCCACATGCCCCCTACCTGCTGCATACTGGAGGTTGAACCCAGGAGCTTTTACCACTGAGCTTGTCTCCAGCCCTTTTGGTTTTTTATTTTGAGAAAGGGTCTCATTAAGTTGCCCAGGCTAGCTGTGAACTTGCAATCTTCCTGCCTTGGTTTCTTGAGTAGTTGGGATTAAAGCTGGATGCGCACGCATCACTATATCTAGCTACCACTCCACATCTTAATGCAAAGCAGTACCTTAGGGATAAAGTAAAATAAGTTATTTTGGTGGCTAGAAAACTATTAATAGAAGGACAAGGCATGAATTCACAATAAGTGGGAGTGCTGGGGAAGAATAGAGGTTCTTTGGTGAGACAAAGGAGAGTGAAGGGAGGGGAGGGGAGGGGGCATAGGGGTAAGAAGACTAGTAGAATGAATTGGACATTATTACCCTATGTGTATATATGATTACACAACCAAATCTGAGAAGTTATACTTCATTTATGTATGATGTGTCAAAATGCATTCTACTGTCATGTATAACAAATTAAAAAGGACAAAGCATGAACTTAGTTGTATGTAAATTATACTTCATGAAAATTGATTTTAAAAGGTAAAGCTAATGTATGATAAAACAGAGCAAACCAGGTGCAGTGAAAGCACTGATTATAAAGTGGTACCAAGAAAATTGTAGGGGTATAGAGTATATTTGTTAAAACTCAAACTGTACAGTTAAAATAGGTACATTTTAAGAATGTAAATTATATTCCAATAAGATTGATAAAGAAAAAAGTAAGCATATTTCAATATCATAGAATTGTACCAAAGGGAATTCTAATTACAGCAATTGTACTGTTCACACACAAAAAAATGACTTCATATCAAATAATGAGACTCTGAAAGTCCTAGAGCCAACATGTCATGCTAGGTCTTTCACCTTAAATGGCTCTGGTTATTTTGTCCTCTCTCCTTTCACAATAATGCTAACTTGGTAAGTATAGCATTGCTACATTTTGTCTTTAGGTTTGGTAAAGTTTTCCTGCTACATTTAAACTTAGAGGACTGCAATTAGAAATAGGAAGAATCTTAGTAACAGATGACAAATATACAGAATTTAGGAAACTACTTAAGTATCTCAGATACCTATGTGTGACTCATTTCTAAATAGAATTAAACTGAATTACCTATCTAAATACAACTCTGGACATTCTACTGAAAAATACTTAAAATCCAACAATTTGAAATTTAAATCCAAACCTACCATCTTCATTTACTTATTCATATAAATGAGTCTTTAGAACAGGTAAAAACTTTTTTTTTTTTTTTTTTTTTTTAGTACTGGAGATTGAACTCTGGGGGCACTCGACCACGGAGCCACATCCCCAGCCCTATTTTTGTATTTATTTAAAGACAGGGTCTCACTGAGTTGCTTATTAGCACCTCACTATTTCCTGAGGCTGACTTTGAACTCAAAATCTCCTGCCTCAGGCTCCTAAGCTGCTGGGATTTAATAGGCATGCACCTGTTGATTTTTTTAAAGTTCTAAAGTAATATGAACATTGAAGCTTTATTAACTTTTTTTCTTTTGCCTTAAAACTTCTTCTATTTTTCTCTATTTCTATTTATCTATTTAGACTATTTCAAAATAGGTAACAACTTACAAGAAAAACATGATAAAACAAAAGTCCGTTTATAGCAATACTGCTGCAACACATGTTAAGTAATAGATAATAAATATTTATATTGTGAATAGTTCACTATAACTATCTCTAACCAATTTCATTTAAGT